TATATATCTATATTGTGTATTTTTTACGTGGGTTTTGTGTTAGAATAAATAATTTTATTATTGATCTTCGGGGCACGTTCGTACATTTCCAGAAAGGGCACATTCGTACGCGTATGTGTTTACCCCCCCAAACAATTTTTATTATTATATCAGAAAATTTAGAAAAAAATATCGGAATTTTAAGAAGAAAAGGCAAATACGTTCCCAATATTAATTAAATGAGTTTTTTTGCGTCTGTAAAAGGTGTTTTTAAATAGTAAAAAACAAATTGTTTTACTGAAAAGATTAACCAATTGAAAAAGTTCATAAACACATTTCGGACTCACTATATTGGAAGTCACAACACTATAAAATGATTATGATAAAGTTTTGAAATATAAATGTTTGCAAAATTGTTATGAAACTGGCTTCGCTGATATAGAATGGATGCACGGTTTTCGTAAAAAGATAGTTAGACTCTAAGCCTATATGTCGTTTAGTTTATCACTTCGTTGATAAGTTTATGATCAATGAAAACGATTTTTTAAATTCATTTGTTGTTTTACTTAATATATATGAAGTTACCACATTGTCTGAATGTTCCCCGGCCCATGTACGATTGTACCCCTTAATAGGGGTAGATTCAGACATTTCATTAGCTTTTAGTAAAATTCAATCCTTTGATATATTATACAAGATATCGACTTTGAACTTTTTAAATAAGGAGCAGAAAGTATGCTTTATGTTTTAATAAGAAATTGAGTAATTTATCTTTGATTATCAATATTTTAAAAATCATTGACTAAAAAGTGTACGAATGGTCCCAATCTTCCCCTACCTATATATACATACGTACCTACCTATAGCTACAAAACTATAATACATATTTGTCTTTAACGTAAAAATTTAATGGTAGGTAGGTACTTCTACTATTTAAGTTGTATTCTTCCATTACGACATTAGTTGCGTATTTTGTTTTGATAAAACAATTTAGAACAGATAAACTATTAAGCATCAATAGTAGCAAGGAAAGGTTACTTACCTAAGCATTTTTTATTCCTCGCATTTCGGCGGCAACGAAATTACTATTTGTTATTAAATAATGCGCAACTTTTAATCCATCTACTTTAGGTAAATTATCCGATTGCCCTTTTTCGAATCCTTTGTCTATTTTATTAATCGAATAATATTTAATATTATAACACTATTAACTTAATACACGGACGAAAACACAACAAAATACTGCGCAAGCTATTATATCTATTATAACCGCTGGCGACTTGATACTAAGCGGGGCGCGGCGCGTTGTGACATGACGTCACAAGCGGTCACGTGGCTGTTAGCGGGATTCGATATTTTTCGAAACTTTGAATGCATATAAAATCAAAATTACTAGGTATTTTTGACTACAACAAAAACTAGTGTATTTGTATACATAAGGGCTTTATTGAGACAAAATTTCAAGCGATTTGGCATATCTAGTAACATTCTTCATTGGTAATAACGTTTCGTGGCATAGGTGAAGTGAGTTTCGAAATGATGTAGGATTAAAATATCTGAGACACGTTTAATCAATCGATTTTGTTTAGTATTTTTATACAAAAAATGGAATCAGTAGGATTTCTATACTAAATGTCGTGAATTCAGACTCTTGAGTGAATTCGAAATCGGGTCTGGATTTTTACAGATATAATGTTCACGTTCCCCACTAGGGAAGGGCAGATCCCTAGTGGGGAACGTGAACAGTTTGCTGATGATGATGAATATTTACTTTCGTATTTTAAGGATAATCATAATATAAAAGACATAGACTACACCTCGCTGCACCGCACATAAATAAAATTAATTTAACTAAATTTTAAAATAACGAAAGAAAATGTCAACGTAAAAATCTAATACATGCGTTTGATTAATTACCTATAGAACTCTTTTATTATATTTATAATAGGTATCGTATTCTTAAAACACAACAATCAATGAATTCGCAATAATTCAACACGGTTGCAATACTAAATTACGTTATTTTCTACTAAACAGACGTCCTTGGTACGACCAAGCCATGTTTTATAGACAGAAATTTTAATTTTCGCAACCTATATCTATTATGCCTGTTCAGTTCTGTTAACAAAATTTTGAGAAAGCAATAATAAGTATTATACTTTTTTTCAGTAACTAATATACTAGATATTTTTGTTGAACTTTTTTATATTTTTTGGTTTTATATAAAAACTAGCTGTTTGCTCACTACTTCGCCCTCGTAAATAGCTCTGTAGTCGATTTTTTTATCCGTCCAATAGTTCCGGAGCCTATTACATAACTGTTTTTTTTTTATTTTTATTTACATAGATGACATGTTTATGTCATACATATATATAAACAAAATCACGTATTTTGCATTTGTATGATTTTTTTTTGTATAAATAAGTTACTAAAGAAACGATATTAAAAAACACCGATTTACCTAAGTATATTAAAAAGGTTGGTAAGCGCTGTGTTACAAAATATTGTTAAATTCTATAACTGGTTTAATTTAACTCTGTTTCAGTTTTTAGGAAACTAATAGTAGAATACAAGACGTTAAAATATATGACAATCGGACGGACAAAGGTGATCCATAACCGTTACAGACAAACAATTTGAACTATCAACCATCCAATTTAAATCCAATATTCAAATTTAGTTAACGTGAAATTCCAATACTGAAGATTCGTGGAATTTTATTCGGATTCATTATAACCTCAACTTGTTGGCTCTAATTATTTTCGTTCGATTTTATTAAACCAAAAATATCATATTCCACATTCCACATTTCAATACAAAGTAATTGAATTTCGCCCATAATTTTGTAAATGAAATTTAATTAAATTAACGTGATTTATCAAGTAATATATAAATGGGAACGATGAAGTAACTAAGTAATTACTTATAACAACAATTTTTAATAAAGATATAATCTCCTTTTTTTTAAAGAAAATAATGTTCCTACTTTAGATGGTCTGGTAATTACATAACATTACTCTGATTAACTAAGTCATAAGAAAATATCATAATAATGAAGAATGTTTTAGATTTTTTTTTTTATATTTTCTCTTGTAATTTGTCTTCCCTTTGTAAGTGGTTTTACTTTGAAAAGGTGATATTGTCTTTCTCTATCCACCGCCTATACACAATATATGTATCTATAGGTACACAGTATAAAACAAAGGCGCATCCCGCTGTCAGTACCCCGAGATCTTTTAAACTTGCGGTCCTCATTAATATTCGATATATTGAGGAGTAATTCAAGAGAAAGATTTATATGTATAATAAAACAGGTACACGCGAGCAAACCGCTGGCGAAAAGATAGTAGTTTATAAGAATAAAATAGAAGCATGAAGTAAAGGAAAGTCTTTTTTGTTTATATTTAGTATCAAATATAATTAGTTTACACCTTATGTGAAGCGTATGAACAAAATTTGCTGTTATTTTATAAGTAAACATCATCGTTTATTTAAGTTGATAGGTTTATTAAGAAATTGTGCGATATTACTTGTAATTTTTGGTATAAGACAAGACTATTCATTCTTCATTGAATAATTAATTAAACCAGGAATTGAACCTCGTTAACGATGCATGAATAAATTAACGCTAGCTTAGTTTATGAAAAATGTATATAGATTCGTTACACATTTCTCTTTCCGCTTCTAATGTAGGTATTTAAGTAATTAATTAATCAACATAATAGTGGATTTGTTTAAACTGAAATAAAAATACTTAGCAGATTGCGGATATTGTCATCATTTTTAAACGACTTCAAAAATAAGTGGAGATTCCCAATTCGTTTTTTTTTTCTGTAAGAGTTTTCTTTACCTATGTTCCACAAGAAAGTTTTTTTCTGAATTACCTAAGTTCCAAAATAACTTCTTCAGTGGTGAACTGACTCTGATGATTCGATTTTGGAAGAGTATATTCTAGAGGCGGTCCCGTTACAATTTTGTAGAAATTGAATCAGTACTTTTGTTTTTATACTTTTTATACTGAATTATGGCTATATCGTTGTCACAAAAGAATTTAAATTAAAAAAAAAATCAAAAATATAAGAAAGCGGTTAAAAAAATAATTTAACATGGCTATGAAATATCTATAGCTATAATATATAAAATATCAATATCACTAAAAAGTATGCAATAAAAACTTTTTATAAAAATAGAACTGACTTCAAATTTATAAAGAATGAAATATAGTACTTATCTCAATAGGCGAATCAAACAAGAAAATGCTAGATATTGAATTCGGGCGCATATCATTAAACCTACAGAAAACCTCCGCCCGACTTTTTATATTTTATTTAATAAGTCGCTTTTGATATAAGTATTATATTTCACTTTTTTTAAGTGTGGAGTCGGTTCTATTTTTTTAGTCCCTACTCGTGCTCATTGAACAGAGTTAAATAGTGAAACAGCTGCACTGCGCAATTTCAAAGAGTCGTGAAATGAGTTATATGTCTACAAAAAACGTCTGGAATGAAATTTAGATCGTTACTCTTGTTTGTGTTGTATAGTTGATAGAAACTATTTTAAAAATTATTACATACATAGGCAATCTACAAATACGTGAGCGATATAGACAATTATTTACGCAAACGATATCATGGGAAAACAACTAATAAATAGTTTTAAATAAAATTTTTCTTTATATAAAAGGTAAATGCACTACTCCACACCAGCTTCCCCAGTGCGTATCAGCCAGGTTTTATAGGGCTCTTGCGGGCTTATCAAATTGCATAGACATACCAACTAAAACCCTCAGATATCCCTCTATATCTGCGGAAACAGCCCAAAGGATGATTAAAAAAAACCCTTAACTTCTCGTCTGTCGTTTATCGGCCACCATCTTGTATCTGTCAGCGTTCGATTTTTAAATTTCAATGGCCGCGTGTGTTTCTCTTTAAAAGCTTTTTTTTATTGAGATTCTTGTATGCAAAATATCTAAATAAAACGTTTACTTTTGTAATACTATAAAGATGTTCGTTCGTCTACAGGGTCCCCGTGGAAGGTCGACGTTATGGCGGGACCGGCGGGTGGTGGTGGTGAACCCACCAGACTGATCCCCGCACGGGTGCCGGCCGTTTTCGAGATATCCACCGCGCCTGGGACAGCCACCTTCAATAAGAACGATGTACGTAATTACCTCACTGAGCTATCGTAAAAAAACTATGGCACTATCGGTGCTCTACACTACACTACGCTACACTAGTAAGATGAGCTTAACAAATGGCATAGTCACTTTTTATACGACTGTGCAAATAGGGATGATATCTAATTTTAGGTTGTCTGTCCGTCTGGTAGATTAATTGAAGAATACTAAAAACATATTTTTTTTATTTTTACGTAATAAATAAATTAAGGCGATACATTTGAAATGTAGTAAGACGTCACAACTTTGTACAAAGGTGTAACGTCATACGAAATTTCAATTTTTTCTAAATTTGATGTTTCAGGAAGTTGTTAATAAATATGTTGAACGGAAACTCAGTTGTCTTTAATTAAATCCTTGTATTTTTCTTGCAGCCATGACATTCAATACATTATCTTAGACATAGAGAGGGATCATTCCCGAACAGTTTTGCCACTAATATTTATAGAACACGACACTCCAAAGTTGCGACGACGTAGCAAGCCCTCACTACTCAACTTTAATGTCTATTGTCTAAGCCATTTCTTGATAAATTGAAGCAAAGAAAAAACGTATCTAATATTTATTGACGGACTAAGTTGAAATTTTTTTTTACCCAATCATCCCTATTGTAAAAAAATGGTGAACATATTTCATTTATTATGAAGGCCTAACAATATTTAGATTTATCTACCCAATTAGGTATCTAAATGTTTTGTTGTTAGTTAAGACAAAAAAAAATTAGCCCCAAAGTTGCCGGGCCCCGGGAACTTGTGTACTCAGTCTTTAAAATAACCCTCGATATGGGAAGAAGGATCCGGGATCCAGCAAGGAGCCCGCCAGATGTGTACTCAGCCTGATGAATACATTCGTTTGGCATTCTGAACTTCTGTCTTCTGAGGTTACTTCAAAGTGTTAACCAACTGTTTTTCAACTATATTTTTAGGTCAACCATAATATCATCTTCCTTATATTGAAGACGAAATCTAATTTTACGATCAATTTTTGAGGCGACATAACTTAATACCGCTTAGTCAGTCAATTCTGTCATGCTTCAATTCCTAATGTAATTTCCACTGTTTGCCAGGTGGGGGTCTCGGTGACTGCCCCGTCTCGGAGGCCCGTAACGGCTCGAGTTCTTGATGTGGCCGAGCGACCAGGAGTTTTCCGCATCGAATTCACGCCTGAAGAAGTCGGCACGCATTTAATCGATGTAAGTTTATGATACATTTGATAACCTAATTTGGAAGAACGAATCTCTTTTAATTAAATATCATCACCTCGGCAAACGCCATCTTTAAAGTATTGACTTGGTTAATTATTGAGACGCTTTTATTTCTGATTTCCTTAGCGCAAATGTTTTATTATCACCAACCTTATCTAGGATTTATCATAAGATCGAGCATTGGCACCTTTCAAAATGGTTAACTTTTAAAAGAGAAATGAAAAATTGTTACTTTTGCCGCTACTTAAAAAATATCTTATATGATTAAGAGCAATAATGGCTTAGTAGTTATTATAGTTATTTCGTTTACCTGTATGTTTTCTATTGTATCTAAAGATGCCTGTAACCTAACATTGACAACAATAATAGTCTTGACAATGTAACGAATGTCAATTTACAGGTTTCAATAGCAGAAGACAAATTGGCCGCAGGACCTCTAGTCGCTAAAGTATACGACGCAAGTCTCATCAAAGTTACAGATGTTGGCAACGCAGTTGTGGGACAACAATCACAGTTCAGAGGTAACCAAAGACGTAAAATCTAACATACGCCTGACAATCTAGAACATTGTAACAGCGAACCACAGATACTGACCTACTAACTAAGATCGTCATGGCTTCGAGTTCGATATTTCGCCAACGAAATTCTCCTTTATTAAAGAAAATCCAAATATTTGTTATTAGAATGATTTAACTAATTGTCATAAATTTGATTATTTTACAGTGGATGCCAGTGCAGCTGGTGAAGGCCAACTTGAAATTTCCATAAACGAGGGAGAAGTTCCAAATCATGTGCAGGTAAATTTACTGCTAGAAAAGTTTAAATATCTTGTATTGTATAGATAAGTGTTAGATACAAAGACTCGGGTTTTTTTAGGTAGTTGGCGGTGGTCGGTGTCTAGTCTTTTGGCGGCCTGAAACGCCTACACCCCACCGAGTGGATATAAAATTCAATGGAGAACCAGTGCCTTCTTCACCCTTTGTGTTTCATGTGGCACCTGCCCAGAGAGTCACTATAGACACATCACAAGTTGGTTAGTATCATTATAATTTCATTATTACTTAAGTAAATTGTCTGGACCCATAATTAGGAATATTGCGCTGACGGAAAAGAATAATATTTAGAACAGGTAAATACATATTGAAAAGAAATGCATAATGCTTATATTATTAAAATTACCTACTTTATATAAAACATTACCTACCTACACACACTCATTACCAATGTCTATGACAGATACCTAAATAGAGAAACTAACATAATGAAAATAATTAATTTTACTTATATGAACCTAGTTTAATATTTTTGGCGTTATTTAAAGAAACGTTAACTAGATTTAAAGTTTTTTATTGTGTTCATCCTTCATTAAACGCTCTAAGATTTTTTCCATTCTCGTTTTGAGCGCTGATCAGGTTAGCAGAGGGTATCAAAACTTAAAACTGAACACGGCTGTGATGTGTGCGTGTGTGTCGTTTCGTATTTTCTGTCGCGGTGAAAACAAAGAAAAGATCTGTCATTGCCATCTGGCAGTATGGCTGTATTAATTCGAATATCTCATGGACCAAAAATAAAAAATTGGGCTTTGCCATTGATTTGCCTCATAAATTAACCTACTCAAGATTTGGCAGTATGACTAAGTTCCTTCGCCTGTCCCATGGATGAATTAAACTACTATATACTACTATGCTACTACTTGTCAATGTCATTTTTGTTTACAAACAATTCGATGCCGATGCGAAATACTTTTTTACGAAATTTTTAATTTTCGATCATTGTTTTTCCAGAATTAATACCAGTAGGTGAATTAGCATCATGTTCAGTGCGAGTAGAAGGCGCTGGGGGAGGCGAATTAGCAGTAACTGTACGAGGACCCCGGGGCGAAGTTCCCGTGAGGCTAACAGGCGATGTTGTCAGTGGCCTAATCGCCAGCTTCACTCCAAGAAACGTTGGTACGCACGTGCTTACAGCCCATTACAACAGCCAACCAGTACCAGTAAGTATAAAAAAACTATTCCTGTATACGCACTACAAAACAAAAGGAAGTTTTGAAAAACTCACTCTTCTTAATAATAAACAATATTATAGTCATTTGTTTTTAATTTACTTTTCTATTTTTGTAGAAACTCACTGGTAAACACAAACTCAACAAAATATTTAACTCTTAGATATCAATAATAATAACAAATGTGATAATCTTCAAAAAAGTATTGTTAACAAGGCATTGTTCATATGCTTTGTGCATTTATACAAAATACCCTACATAACACCAAAGACTTCTCATAAAAGCCTTTGCATAACACTTTACTATCCTGTAGACACTTTAATTTTTTTTATAGTATTAACATATTATTTTTATATTAATTATTTTCTTAATGGTACCAAAACAGAAAGTGTTGTGTTAATGATCTGCTTGATTCCTACAACATAATGATTTATATTTATTCTATTTACTAAACATAAATAAAAAATGTCAAACAGGGTACCCCATTTACATGCAAGGCCTATGATGGGAAGCTTGTTAGTGTCACTGGGGGATCATCAGCTCGAGTTGGTGTGCCTGTGCAGCTAGCAGTAGATGCTGCACAAGCTGGAGAAGGCAATCTAGAAATCACAGTAGCAGCTAGAGGTCTGAATATACCTACACAAGTCCATCCACAGGTGAATAATGTTATATATTTATTTGTATCAGAAACAAAATCCAAACTAAACTAACTCCTGTGTTTGTGTGTGTGTCTGTTCTGTGTGTGTGTGTGTATGTGACTGTGTGTGTGTCTTTTTAAATTTTTTTGTCTATAACCAATCTACCAACAATTTTGTAATTTACTGTTAAGATAAGGTAATCATAACAACTATATTCCTTTTCAGGGTAATGCAAGATTTAATGTGTCATTCACACCAACAGAAGCGTGCGACCATGTTGTAAATGTATCTTTTAATAAGGTGGGTATAATTCAAAATTCAAAATCTATTCCTAATGAAAAATGCTAAAAAAAATCAGATGAGACTTGAACCTTTTGCAATCCAAGCGACTACTCTAACCAGGACCTAACAGGACTGATGAGTTTTTGTTACATTTTCGCTACTACAGATAGTGTTTTTCATCAATGTTCAGGCAACCCTGGGTGGATCCAAAGTAAAATAAGTGTGTTTGTGTGTGCAATATACTTTTAAATACTGTCTTCAATTTTTTTTTTTATATTAACGAGAATTTTTTTTTTTATATTTTTTATATTAACACCTAACGAAATTAGGTAATATCTAAAGTTCGAATATTCGTTATGCCGCGCCTTGCATTAGACATTTGCGTATATGACACGTCATAAATATGTCAAAGGATAAGAGAAATAATATTTATTTGGAATTAAACTATTCTGCTTAGGCGACTTTGCCTTGTTCTAGGTTAGTGAAAATGGGTGTAAATTTATTACCAGATTTAAAATATATATTGCCAAATTTTGTTTTATATTTTTATACAAAAAATGGGATCTTTAGAATTTCTAAACTAAATGACGTGAAATCGGACACATGGGTGAATTCGAATTCGGTTCTGAATTTTTATAGTATCGCAGGGCTGCTTTTAGACAGTTTGAGTTTAAGTATTTGTGGTTTTATGTAAAGATGCGCGTACCTGGATGCCCTCTCACCATTGAAGTGTCAGAAGGCAGTGGCAGCGGGGCTCGTGTGACACTACCTGGTCCAGTGCCACTTCATCAGCCCGCATCGCTCACCCTCCACCATCCTACTGCCACACTTGACCAAATAGAAGTCAATGTTGAAGGTATGTTATAACACGTCTCTTACATACGTAACAAAATTAAAAAGTGTGAGTTCCTTACACACGTCTAATTTATTTCTAATATACTACAGAATCTTGATGTGAATAGGGGCCAGGTGTTTATTGACTTTACAATCTATAAAAGTATGTGTTTATTCCATAAATTTTTAAAGTAATTTTATCAAGTCGTTGCTCTTGATAGTTCCTTCTACCTCTCCTTGTCCCATTATTTGGGGTCGGGTCATTGATAGCGCACACACAGCGCATTCCATAAAATGTTATTTTTCATTCTAAAAAATAGTTTGTTTCGACGGAATTTGTGCTCTTAAAAAACTTCATTGAGCGTTTTTTATTCCGCACACCACGTTAAAAATCATAAAACGGCCCTAGTTTTTTACGTAATTTTATAAGATATATTTCATGTTGATATGTGTAGACCTTATAAATTTAATTAAAATTATTTAATTGCCAAAAAAGATAACATAGTATTTATAAATGATATTATGTTAAGAGGTGGATGTGTTAATTCAGTCATAATAAAATATATATATTTTCTAATAATTAAATTATCTTTATCATTAGTTCGGCTTTCACAATATTTGTTTTAATTTTTTATTACAGGATGGTATAAATGAGCAAAATGTAGAAACAATAATGAATACCAAAATCAAAGAAAACAATGAAAGTATAAAAGGCAGAATTTAAAATTCGAAGCTGAGGAGAAATTAAAGAAAATTATAGTTTAATATATAAAACAATTAATTAGGGACTATTAATACGAACATCCCGCTTAGCATTACTAACATTCCACCTCTTAACTACATTAGATGCGTTAGGTACTAACACTATTAACTTTAGCAGCTTTAGGTACATGCTTATTTTTTAAGATCATACTAGATTGTTTTAATTAGCCTTTATAAGTCCAATCATCCAGTATTATCTACAGCTAGAGTGTCAATTTGGTCGAAACATCGATAATACTCAAACAGACATGACACTTTAACAATCATATCGTTATGAGCTCATCGCTTAGCCCTAACTCTTAACATCCATGAAAATTTTGTTATTACTGGCCGATAAAAACTATTTGAAAAGTTTTCACAAAAAAAATACGTTAGTAGAATATAATATAGAGTTCGATATTTGAAAACTAGAGATTTAAAACTATTTCGAGTGGCCATTTAAAAAAAATAATAAAAATAGGGGGTAGGGTTAGGGCGTGGCAGTGAGCTGAGACTTGCCGGGACGCAGGTCCGAATGGTGCATCGGTGCCTGCGGCGGTTTCTTCTGCCGGACACGCCGTGTTCCGTGCCGAGTTCGTACCAAAGGCGGTCGGTGAACACCGCCTAAATGTACTCGTCGACTCTGTACCGATACCAGCCAGTCCTTTTCATCTTAAGGTGAGTTTTTTTTTTTTTATATAAAAATGAGGCTGAAAAGAAAAAATATCTTTTTGCTTTTTTGCACCGATATTTTCAAGCATTAATCTATGCAAAACCCAAACAAGTACTCTGTTTTTTTCTGTCTTTCCCTCTTATGCCACTGGTTTTTTCTTTATTTTTATCCTGTGTTGCCAATCATTGCAAGGTAAAAATCTTCTTATTTATTTCTGTGAAAGTAATTATAATTTAAAACCCAGAACCATTGCATTTATTTTACAAATTGTTTCACAAATTGAATGTTCCACTATAACAGATTGACAAAGACCGACACATCTTATCATAAGATCTTTAACCTGAATTAATTAAGGATTTATAAAATAAGAATCATCGTAATTTAGTTTAAGTAAATTATAATATTAATGAATTCCATTGTTTATCTATGTGCCATTTGTATCACACAAAGTAGCAAATATATTTGTTATCTAGTAGAGTTCGTAATTATCAAGATAATTATATTTTTGGATAATTGTCAGTAATAACTGGCAACAATTTTTTCAAATACATAAAAAAACAATCGAACCTATACTTATCATCATCATCACCCCTTATACGCCCCTCCTGCAGGGGCTCAGGCCTTTCTTATGGATGGTTAAGGAGGATGGGCCATGACCGTCCTCGCTGGCCCAATGCGGATTGAAGGGTATTAACGACTGCAAATGCAGCCGGGACCAACGGCTGAACGTGCCTTCCGAAGCACGGAATAGCTCGAGATAATAATTTTTTGGTCACCCATCCCGTGACCGACCCTTGCGAAAGTTGCTTAGCGAAAACGATCGCGGGCCGCAGCGCTTATCCACTACGCCACCGAGCTACTATACACCTATACTTATAAATACCTAAAAACATGTTGTTTTTCTTGTTTCAGGTATATGATGTCACCGCCATAAGAGTAAAAGATGTCGCTCATGGAACAGTCGGAAAGCCTGTAACATTTTTAGGTACGTGTTTTTATGAATATTCATGATCGGATCATTATTTCCGACGATTACCCCCTACTATCAAACAAAGTTTGATAGTAGGGGGTAAACTTCACATCTTTATACTAATAACATAGATTTAAGATGGATTACACCATAATAGCAGTTCAAGTTAAGTATATGTCAAATTTGCCTAATATGTGTCTGATTTTAACATTGTCTGCAAAATGCGTTGCACCATCCTCTTTCTTGGCATAGTAAAAAATAACTTTAGCCAGCGAAGCTTAGTCTGTTATAGTTTACAATTAAAGTTATGACGTCATCTAAATATTGCCAAATGCTGCAACTGGTTCTTTGCTTAACTGGTACTCTAACATGTTTGTTATCGTTAAAGTAAGTCAGTGCAACCGAGACTAAGTAATGGAATATCGACAAAATCTTAATTGGGAAAAATCTCAAATACTTAACTGTGATGTTCAACCTTGATTAAATATTTGTTATATAGTGGAAACAATGGCTGCCGGACCTGGTAACTTGGAAGTCACTGTTAACGGTGGCAGAGTTCCGACAGCGGCGGCCGCACAGGGCGCCCATACATATGCTATTAGTTTCACCCCACGTGACCCACGGCCTCATACTGTCGAACTACGTTTCAACGGAGACCACGTACCGGGTAAATTACTGAAAATAATTAGCTACTTGACTGTTTTGAGTTGAATCGTATTAAAACAACTTTCAAATTTATGTTTATCGAAACATGTTATTAAATAAAGGACATTATACATTAAATTGTCTCGCCAAAACAATCAGTCATCTGATATTTCGAGCCGTGACGTCACATTTCAATAAATATGGACACGATATGGCAATTCTGCTAATGTCAATGTAATTATGGAAAGTAAATGGCGCATCAACTACAACTCTTCATGACATAGTTCTTTTTACTAGATAAGAAGGTTTGGAGTGATAATTATCTTTATAATTATAAAAAACTGCACAAACTATTTATGTATTTTAAGACTTGTTATTAAAAGGGAATCATCTTTAAACAACGATTAAAATATACAACTATAAATTATAATATAATGTATATTTTCATTTCACTTTTCTTTAAATGTGATTTCACAGTTCATTTTTTGTTTGTATAATTTTTATTGTTTAAAATAACGAAAATATTAATTTATGTATTAAAAAAATTGTTGCCAGTAACTACAGATAATTATCAGATATTTATCGGATAATTATCCAATAATATAATTATCTTAATAATTACGAACCCTACTATACTCCATTCACTATAACATTAGAAAAAAGAGGGTCATAGAAGCAGCAGTGCAGAACATTTTATTTTCAAGATCTTTAAAAAATCTATATTAGTTTTGTTGAGACTTTGAACGTTAGGTAGTCTGAAAGAGCTGGGCAATTTTCCATTTTTTATGATACCTCGGGGTTGAGATGAGGCCAACATTTTATAAATTCATCTTTTAATCTTAAGCCAACACGGAACTAAAACTGAAACTATCTGTGTGTTTTGATAAATTCTAATTGTAAGTGTAATAAGTTAGACTATTGATGAAGACATTGAAAAAACTCCCTGAAATGTCAAAGTTTGAGGGTAGGTATAGGGTAGTATAGGCCTAAAGCGTAATTTTTGTAGGCCACTCGGGCCTGTACCGACATCGTCCATATTTACCAAAACTTAACAACAAAAATAAAACAATAACATCACGGAAAACGGCTAAACAACAAGAAAAGCAGCAGCATTCACAATGGATGACAATCCCAGATAACGATTTTAACAATTATTAATAAATAATAGTCTGACAAAATTAAAAAGCTGTACTACCGAAACGCTTGAAGGAGTTAGGCAACGTTTTAAATTTGGTAGAGTTATAGTGACATGAGAATCGTGCCGAAACTATCCAACCCTGCTTCTTTAGGTTCTTTACGATGGACACTTTTTATTGTAATACTTATTAAATCATTTAAGTTAGTCATATACTCATAAATTTGTTTAATAGTTAGCTTAAATGACAACAGTTAAGTATAGTAGCTGATATTTAAGTGAATATGTATCAAATTAGCCGTCAGTCTTAAAAGTAACATGATTTTTGATATTTTGTCACAAAGTATACCATAAAAAGAACCTTATTTCACTTCTGTCTAATGCTATAAATGAATGGAGTATAGATAACAAATATATCTGCCACTTTTCCTTTCATTTTTGAGGAAGACATTGCACTAATAATATTGAACTTCAGGTAGATAATATAATGGTAAAATTGAAGTCTTCTATTGATAAGATTCTATTGAGATGCGATTATTACGTAAAAATTAGCAGAATTGAGGCGCCGGTTACACTCTTAACAAGGACATATAGTTTTATGAAATGAAACGTTACACTATGCTCCATCATGGTTATAGACAGTAAACAAAAATAAATACATATTATTTTATTCTGGTAGTATTTAATTTACTAATATCAATAATCACACTACTATACGAGTATTATATTTATAATATTGTTAAGCAATTGTGAAAAAACAAATATTTTGTGCTCCTTGTCATGTGACCATATATAGTGTGTGACTCACGCCCCTCTTATTTATATCAGTACGAACAGAATAAAACAATATGATTTTTAGAGGGGCGTGACGTATTACGCCGTAACAGAAGATGGCGTTTTCGCGGAATTTTGATAATTAAATTTATTTTTCGATTTTTACTTATTACATGACTGATACTTTTTTTGTATTTATTTCATGTATGTCAAGATTTTTTTTTTTTTTTACAGAGAATTGTATAGACGACAAATACTTGTAATGGGATTATGGCATTCATATCTCCAGGTCAGACCGGGTTTTCCCTGGACCGGCGACCATTCCGTTTAGCAATCTGTGATGTATAGCTACATTAAGTTCCATTATTAATTGACGCTGTTTTCTTAACAGGCAGTCCTTTCGTATGTCACGTGTCGGCTCCAGCGCGGGTCATAGGCGCTGGCTCAGGGGAATCCCCTGACAAAGTTTCAGTTGGTGATGCGTATACATTTAGCGTTGATTCCCCTACATCGCCCCATGTTGAAGTTCTGGGACCAGCAAGAAGACCAGTACCGGTTCAGGTAAGGAGATATTTAAATATTTTGCTTACTCTTGTACTTTTTTAAGAAGGTAATTATATATTTTCTTTCTAAAAGTCTTATTTTTACTCGTTTTTTCCGATTTATATAATAATTTCTCTTCATATAACAATATTTTGAAATATAGTTAAGATTTGTGTGTGATTTTTAAAGTTAAAAATATGTTTTAGGTATCTGCTGAAGAAACTATAGGAGAAAATGAAGCCAGCAAGCGGTACACTATTTCATTTGTACCAGTAGATGTAGGAGACCACAGTATAGAGGTTTGTTAATTTATTACTTAAGTAGATTGCGTTAGTGATCAATTTCAAATTATTAAATAACTACTGTTTCTGTATGATCCATAGAGAACTGTTTATTTAAATATAAATTCATATCACGACACGGATATAATTACAATGACGTATTGAACAGTAAACAATAGTTACCATTACAACGTTTTACTTCCTAATACAAACTTTCACTCCCATTTTCATCCATTGCTGTTTTTCGGGATAAAATATAGCCTATGTTCACCGCATATGATGTTTCTTCCTGAAGATGAAAGAATTTTAAAAATCGGTCCAGTAATTTCGAAGTGTATTCGTTGCAAACAAACAACTATAACCTCTTTATAATCATCATCATCATTAGCCCTTTTACGTCCCCACTGCAGGGGCTCAGGCCTTCCTTATGGATGGTTAAGGAGGATGGGCCATGACCCTCCACACTGGCCCAATACGGATTGGAGGGTATTAACGACTGCAAATGCAGCCGGGACCAACGGCTTAACGTGCCTTCCGAACCACGGAGTAGCTCGAGATAATAATTTTTTGGTCACCCATCCCATGACCGACCCTTGCAAAAGTTGCTTAACGACAACGATCGCGGGCCGCGGCTCCACTACGCTACTGAGCTACTCTTTATAATAGTAGTATAGATACCTATTACAATTATTATTTTGTTGGGCATAGGTTCGCGCAGGCGCAATGGGTGGGCACGTGGAAGGCAGCCCGTTCTTAGTGAAGGCTTACAGCGCATCACGTGTAGCCGTCACTGATATATCACCAGGAGTCGTCGGCAGACCTGTCTCGTTTACTATCAACGCTTCACACGCTGGTAAGTCTTTGTATAATAAATATGTTTTTATTTATTATACTAGCATTTAGCAGTTAAGAACCATATACGAAATATCGGAAATGAATAACGACTTTATATACTGTGGCACGAAACTCCAAACAAAAAATGTTTTAAGTTTTTGAAAATACCTGTATCAAAAACAGTTTTAATGAACAAAGCTGATATTCTTTACATATAATGGTATATGTTTGTTACTATAATGGCATTTTAATATCATTTATCATAAATATATATGTTAAAGTAATTTTAATTTGTGTATTTTGTTTCTAATTTCTACTTATGCCTTTCTATAGGTGCTGGAAACTTGGAAATCATCGTGGCGGTTAATGGAAGAAATGTGCCAAACTACGTGCAAAGCGAAGGAAATGCTAGATTCAAGGTAATATTTTCACTTCCGAAGTTAACTACACCACATCAAGTCAATAGTGAGCTTATGCACGTTAAAATAATATTATTTTAAACAAAGACTTCTGAACAACTTCTACTTGTTCTAGTTTGTCTCTGAATATCTTTTTGCTAGATCATAAAATAAGACAAATATTGGTCACCTTTTATTTATCTAGATGCTATTGAGTTATTAACATTAGTGATCGCACATGCATTGATCAACGGCTTAGTGATTATAGCGCATTGTGTGGATTTGTAAGATGGCCACACTGTTCCCCAGTAATCCATATAAAATGTATTGGTAAAGTGAATGGCTGAAGGACCTGTATCCATGGCTGTAAATAAATGATTATTAAAAAAGCAATCCGTATAACAATCGTAAGCAATCCGTATAACTTTGTACATACATAAACAATGTCTTTGTACATAAAAGCAAAAACCCAGTTTTCATTTTTTAACTATAAATGCATTTTCTAATACGGGTGTAGATAGTAAATGAAAATAAATACATATTATTGTTTTGTCTGGTAATGTTTAATATATTATTACCGTAATCACACTTTTATGCTTAGTATATTTATAGTATTGTTTAAATTGATTATAAAATACAAATATTTTATACTCGTTATCATGTGACTGCATACAACGCGTGACGTCACGCCCCTCTTACTCATATCAAAACGTAGAGAATTGAACCTTATCCATAATATAACGATAGCAGTTTCAAAGCCCTTTGAAACTGCTATCGTTATATTCTCCTACCATTTCATAGCGAAGCCATGAAAGAAGTCAGCGTTTTTTTAGATTTTTAGATTTTAAACTTATTGAACAAATGAAACTTTAAAATATTTTTTAAATAAATTTTACGTATATCATATAAAACAAAAATATTAAAAAAAGTTGTCTACACTCCTATTGGGCTCTATAAGGATATGCGTTATTTCTGTTATACCGTGTTTATTCATAATTACGTGCTTTTCTTGTTTAGGTAAACTTCAAGCCTGTGGAAGCAGCGCCTCATACACTATCTGTTCGATTCAACGGCCACGCGGTTCCCGGGTCTCCCTTCACTTGTCCTGTGACGTCACCGGTGGCCGCCTCAGAAGCTCGGGCCACTGGCCCAGGCCTAACATCCGCGCCTAGAGGAGAGGCCGCTGAAATACAACTCACTGGATTTCATTGTGAGTGTAATTTTTAATTATTAAGATTTATTTGTTATTAAAGTATAAGATTATAGGATACAATACAATTTAGAATTAGTTCATATGGCAATATTAATGAGGTAATTTCTTAATTTTGTGCAAACTTATTTTTAACAGTATTTTGTCTAATGTTCTTAATTTGCATCTTGCCTTATAAATAAAAAATAAAAAAACTTTCTGAAAATAAATATTGCCGCAAAAAGAGTTGCCATCTACTAAATTTAAAAATCCTTACTGCACAGTATTAGGCCGGACATTTGCCCTTAAAGCCAGACTTTACCTCATTTAATTACCAAACAACACTTTCATAGAGCAAACTTCATATAGCAAGATCAAAATATTATGGCGCATGGTGAATCAGTTTTTCGCAAAGCAGATATTTATTCATTAGATTATAAATAAACCCCAATAGATGCCGCATGAAAGACAGCAAGCTGTAGCCAATTATTTTAACAAAAGCATTAATACACGTATTGCGAATCCTCAGTTTCGACCAAATGTTTGATCTGTGAATATACACTTGACGAGAGGACTTTTCTTCATAATGAAGTAGTTATTGGGTTAACCATGGCAATTTCTTGTGTCAAATGGTGTAGAAATAATTCCAGAAGATCTTATTGCAAGAAAGATGGTATAACTTTTCACCATTGAGATAAATTTTATTTGTATGTTTATCTAGCGTTGTTCAAGTTGAAACCCATCCCTTTCTCTCAGTACTAAATTAGTATATTCATTTCATTCTGACAAAAACACTAGTATCGCTACTGCATGCCTTTTCTAGATATTATTGATATTTCCATACGTAAACATTGTTACTATTACAGGAAATATTTGTACTCAGTGCGCAAATTAGTACATAAAAGGAATAACCAATATTTATACCTATGTTAACTACTGTAAGATATTTAAGAACATGTATTTCAAGTTTTTATTAGTAATTTAGATCCTATTTTAATACTTATTCGTTATTTACATTCGTCAAAATTAAACACTTTTTGAAAATTTAACTTAATATTTTTATATGAGTGCGCAGTGGCACAACAGTTTAATTTTTATGTATGTTTTGTGTCTCATTGCATTTTATCAAAGCTTAAAATTAGTGTGGCAGGTAAACCAGTGCTACAAGATATACAAAAATGGTGATTTTTGAGACTATGAATTTTTATACTATATTCATTTTTTATGAGTAGTCATTAAGCTCTAACGAATGTTCTGAATTTGAAAATGTAGAAAGCTTTAAACTTATGACAATTTTAACAGACGTTTGGGCAATTGGGTGTTAATCTATGATACTAAGTAATCAGAATTTTATTCCGATGTTACGTCGAGTTTGTCATTAGCCGTCTGTTTACTGTGCCTCTATTATGACATAACAATTTATTCATATGTAATTATAAATGTTAACTTCTTTTTTTACTATTTGTCTATACAAAATCCCTTGTCCATGATAATAAAAAAGCTTGATCTTTAATTATACTTTATCAGGACTTCTATTGGTATGGTCACGAATAATTTCACGTTAGTAATCTACTTCAATTTGCTTTAGTTCCCATTTTAAACAATGATAATGTTTATAAATCCAACGATTCTCTATACTGGTTGTTTTGTTTATCAATACATTAGTTGCATTCATCTAGCGATGTGTCTGCGATGTCGTTGTTTCTCGTGGCGCGGGCGCATGTCATTTTACAGTACGTGATTATAATTTGTTTTTAGTGTAAACGTACTGTTTAATTTAACAAAATGGTACAAAAAAATATCGATAGATCGAATATCATCAATAAATGAATATCAATCACAATCCGTTGATTTGTTAAATATTGTTCTGTTTTGTTGCAATTGTGTTGTAGTGCAAATAATGTGACAAAACGCAAAAGATACATTAATTTTTGAAATATTTATTAATAATTCCCAAATTATAAAATTTTTCAAACATACCCATAAGTGATTATGAAATGAGAGAATTTCGATATATTTATATTTAGCGAAATTAAGTTTACTTATTTTGAAAATCATAATAGCAACTATAATTGACAACAAAACTTAATAACAACAATCGAAAACAACAAAAAATTTTAAAAAATTGTGTGTGATGTCCACACACCCCAACTCAATAAGCGGACTCGTCAACCAGTGTTTTTATTTTTGTTTTGCCATCATTTAACTTTCTGAGTTTGTTTCTTAACTGGGTGTGAAAACAAAATAGGTTGTATTATATCGACTCGGAGCTAGATTTATATTGCTTCAAATTGCATTCCCTAATTTAATGGCTACTGAACTTGAAATATTTACGATGTACCGTCAACTGCACATTAAACTATACAAAACTGTCGAATTTCCCCACTCAATTTGGACATATTCTGTTTACCTGACGTGCAACCCTGTGTACCTTCATCTAATACCTATTATATACGAGGCATTTGAATAAAGGGAGTGTAATTTTTTTACAGCGGGCGAAGCAGCGGTATACGTAACAGGTCCAGGTGGAACTAACGTTAGGGCTCGTGTGAATCCGATCGGTGAAGGCCACTATACAGCTTTGTACACCCCTGAAGCTGTAGGGAGGCACAGTATACAAATAACATGTGGTGGACGCCCCGTGCCCGGTTCACCTTTCACTTGCAACGTTTATGACGTCAGACGAGTCAGGGTTACTGGCCTAGGACCCGGAGGTGAGTTCACTAAAGTCAGTTATCATCGCGGTTTAAGTTCATAATGTCCCCTAGATTTAAGTAGTCTTTTTCTCGGAATCTCCTGTTTCCATAATCTCTCTTTTTATATAAATTTACTCAAAATTCGCCAACTAATACTTAGCCTGCCTACCTCACTAAAGCCAGAGATGCAAGTTCGAATAATGCCTAAAACGATGTTTTTAATAAAAATTAAATATGAAGCTTTGCTGGAGAAGATTTTCACAAACATAATAACTTAATTTGATTCATTTTATAAACACCATTTCTGGAGTAGAATTGTATACTTAAAAAAAGTTTTACATATTGCAATTATATTATTTACACGTTCTTTTATTACAGAATTAGAAGGGACATTGGAAGGTTTAAGTTTAGACGAGAGTGATGAAGAACGTGGTGTTGAAGTCGGCAAGCCTGTAACGTTCAGTGTAGACGCTGCAGGAGCTGGAGAAGGTACTCTTGAGCTAGTAGTCTCCACACCATCCACCACTGTTAAAGCTGAGGTCAGTAAAGCTAATAATTCCACATTTTATGAGTGTTTTGGATTACTTTATTCATTATTAGAACCCTGTTCTGTCTGTCCGTCCATCTGCCACGGTATCTCTTAACATATATAGCAAACATATTCAAAGATGATGTATTAACAATAATTACTTATTTTGAGGGGGATTCCATACAACAAACTTGTTTATTTTTCCTTTTTAATAGTTGGTACTGCGACTCGTACTTGGCCTGTTTTTAAAATGCACGATAATATCTTACTAGACCTCATCAGGAAAAAAAAATACATAAACATTAAATTTTTTATACATTTAACGAATAGTAGTAAAAATGCCAAACTAATTGCCACCAATCAAATAAGAAGTAACAAACAAGTTTGCATACAGTAGTACCACAAAAAATAAGTAATGCTAGCATTCCTTATTGATGCAGATATATGCAGTGTCACGTGACTTGAAACACGACCCGTCATTCTGAGACGTTACCGTGATAGATTTCAGATTAGTCCTAAAGATATGCCTATTAATTATAAATCAAATTCCTAGATGGCGCTGGTCTTAACTTATTTATATCTTTTTATTTCGTAATCGATCATTTGATGGCATTGCTCTTGTTTTATTGATATCTTTTAATCTTCTACTCTATACATCTGTTTTGTGTACATATCACAATAACGTCATGATTTGTTTTGCGGCTTTTTTTAAATTAAAATAAACACTCAATAGTATTATTTCCTAATCTAAGCATTGATTCTACGAACTCTATCATATTACACATAAGGTTCATAATTTAGTTACAAAACTCTTATTATCTCACTCATAACATCTGTATACTGTGTAGCACTAAAAAAATACTTGACATAAAAATACTATCGTTCTAATTTTGGATAAAAACTAAAAGGTTTTCTTCATCTAATTTTACAACTCATTGATTTATCTCAAGAAGCTCTGCCTACCCCGCAAGAGAAGGGTACGAAGATTCACGGCCGGTTTCTGTTAGAAAGAGAAAAGTACAAAATTCTGATGTATTACGTTATTGTAAAGGTGGTAGCAGTAGCACGTGGTCTATATGATGTGACATTCGTGCCAGTATCACGCGAGGCTCATCGCGTCTCCGTCACATTTAACGAGCAACCAGTACCCGGCAGCCCTTTTGTATGCAGAGTCAGTGAACCACACACTTATGTGCAAATTGGTATGTGACTGATACATTTACTTATTTAATAGCTCGGTGGCGTAGTGGATAAGCGCGATTAAGCACCATTAGCAATGGTCGGTCACGGGATGGGTAACCAAAAGTCATCATCTTAATCTACTTCGTGTTTCGGAAGGCACGTTAAACCGTTAGTCCCGGAACTATTACTTCAATTTCGTCATTCTCTCGACATATAAATAACCTTATGGTAAATAACCTTATGTGCAATACACATTTATATATTTAACATAGTACAATGACATGTCATATTTTATTTTAGGGGGCGTGGCCACAGTAGAAGTAGATGAGAGCATAACAGACGTAGAAGTGATTTCACCAACCGGAACTCGTGTTTCCGACGCCAATTTGGAAGACACTGGCTTGCTAACGTTCCCCGCTACCAGAGTTGGAAGATATGTAGTGAAGAGTTCACGGGGACCTGTAGCGGAGGTTGAAGCGTTAGACGCTTCCGCTGTTAAAGTATTGTCTATTGGAGACGCTGTCGCACATAGACCTGCTATACTTACTGGTTAGTATAAATTAATTAAAAGCTCTCTTAAATTTTTTAAATCTTCGGATAAAAGCAATTTATTAATTGCTGTCATAAGATAATTAACTAAACTTCAAAATATAATACAGATCCCAAACTAAATTTGATTCCTTGCATTATGAAAATGGAACAACCATACCCCAGACAAAATATATAAATTCACTGACGCCAATCTGATGCTTCAAAAACCTGTGTATGGTCCATTAGTCACATCACATAAATGATCTTTATGACATAGCTGTCATTTTAGTACTAAAAAGCAAAGAAAATATAGTTCACTAAATATTTCTTGGATTCGTTTAACTTTATTCATATATAAATATATTATTGGATTATTTATTAGCATATTGACACAGCTTTATCGAGAATAAGTATATTATGTTTTCTGAATTGTTTTCTTTATAACTAAATATGAAGGTTACGATTTTTCTCTAAACATTTAAGGCGTCGCTATTTTATGACTTCGATTTCAATTACAAATAAGAATAACGCGTTTATTTATAAAATAATACACTTCACACCCTGGATATGAATCTAGACGACGGTTTGACAATCCATTATTATAACAATGCTTTTTTTATAATAATAAACTGTCAAACCATCGTCTTGATTTTCGTTTCGTTAGTACACCGACGCAATTGCATACGAATGCGTAACATTTGCAAAATCTTGTGAATTGTATGGGCCGTTACACAGACGCACATGTTTCGCATTCAGGGTTGCCACCCGACCCGGCTTCTGATGACTAAAGGTATATCACGAATTTGTTTTTCAAAAGGTCACAACCCTGCCATCATTCTCATAGTTAAGTAAATGTTACGAATTCACAAGCGAATGTGTCGGTGCACTAAAGGCGTTATTTACTCAGTTAGCACAAGCGGTGCCGGCAACGGTCGCCTGTCCGGTCGCGTGACATGCGGCGGTGCGGCAGTGCCGCATTCTGTACGGCGGCGCGGCGGCGCGCGGCAGGAGCTAGTGTGGCACCCGGCACGTGCCGCGCCGCATCGTCTCACGCTACTGTGGAGCGGCACGCCTGTCTCCAGGGAACCGATGTTATTAGACGCACAACCACCGCAACACGGACAAGAGGTCAGTACATTAGGGATGAAGACTGGGTAAAAAAAAAAGAAATTCTATTTAGTCCATCAGTCAGATAATACAAAAATGTTGGATATTATATTTTTGCTTAAATTTAAACAAGAAATGGCTCAGATAATATGCATTAAATTTGAAAAGTAAATTTTGAGCACCTTTACTATGACCGGCCCCAGCGAATACTAACTAACTTTTGCAATGCCAACCGAATGCGCTACAGTTCGTTTTACATAGGATGGAGTGGTTTGTTAGTAAATCCATTTCACGCAGTTTATATTTCCTAATAGTTAAAAACCATTCTTATAAAAGAAAGTTTGTTTGTGTATCTATTAGATATTTATTGAAATATGCATTCTAACTCACTCAAGTTTAAAATATCATACTTGAAACATAAACTGGAACGTTTTTAAAGAAGCATTGAATCAATAAAATCATTTTAATGTCATATGTATTCGGTAATCATTTGAAAATTTTTTATTATTGGTTTTATTTTAAATTTATCTGTACTAAAATTTTAAATAACTTTTATGTTTCAATTTACATTTAAGTAATAGCTTATTATATTTATAGTTAACTTATAAATAACAACACTTAAAAACACAAACGGCCGATTTTTTATCTATGCAACAAGTTCAATACAAATGCGAATACCTTGTATGCAGTCCGATTTCTTTTACAAATTTTACAAAACAAAAAACACATAAAGCCTTTTGCTACAGAACTGGAATAGGGTTATTTAAATAGACAGTATAATAGACTCTCAATTAATTTAATTTAATTGATAAAATCTATTAATTTTACTGACTCTGGTTCATCTTGTTGACGAATAAATATTTTTATTAAATCCTGTTTCTTACATTGACCTCATAATCGAATCTCTATTAAAAATTAACTCTTTAACATAGATTTTTTTTATTACCACATCACTAGAAGCTTCAAATGCCCAAACGTCACCTTAACCATGATATATGAAAAATACTATAATCACTACACCATAGATCTCCTTATTAATATGTTTGGGGCACAGTTAATAATCTAATCCTTGTTCCATTATCATTAGGTGACCGCATCAGGCCTTGGTCTATATCAGGCGCAAGTGGGTCGTGTTGCTTCATTCAGTATAGATACATTGGGACGACCGGCCAGGGAATTCGACGTGGTAGTATCAGGACCTGGCTCTAGGGCTTTACCCGTTAGATGCTACCAAACTAAATCAGGTCTTCTACAAGCCGAATATACCATTACCGAAGTTGGACAGAGTACTATAGGTAAGATACTCACATATTAACGAAATTGAAATTTAATATGTGATATAATTTATTCAATAAAGGTTGAGCTAAATCTGGCAGCGCGTTATATCCTTTTTTGTATCGCTCAGAAATGCCATTTGCTAGAACGACAAAAATAACAGAGGTGCTATAGCACGTCGTGAAATCCTTGATAATCAAAATGCTATCTTCCTCGCTTTAGCAAAGAAAACCACAGAAATGGATAGGGACATAGCTCAGTCCTAAGGTAAGGTAGACTCTAAAGTAAGTCATCTTTGACATCATATAATGCCCAGATTTCTTTCATTCTTTTATGACTTTGAAATACGTCATACTTCAAATGATCACTGCAATGTAAAAGTACGTTTGTAAAATAATAGCGTAAATTTTGTGTGACACGATGTGTTGCTACATGTTCCTAAATATAACCCTTTTATTGCAGAAGTATTACATCTATCGAAGCCGGTTTCTGGAAGCCCATATACATGTGAATCCTTCGACCCCAACAGAGTCATCTTATCCGGTTTGCCAACGGGCAATATTATTGCGCAGACGCCGATTAACTTTACAGGTAAGGAATTCATGTGGTCTTTTATATATTTTGAGTGAATTTGTCAGTAATTAGTGTATTGTTTAATATCTTTATCGAATCGGCACATAGTCAATACTAAGAATAAACAACATGGACAAATAACAAATATAAGTTTTCAATCATTTATTAAGGTATGCACATTCGAAATCTTAACAAGACATGGATATATTCAATTACAACGTCATCACACCCTAGCGGACCGTAAGCGTCATAAGGAAGCGATAAGACCAGGAAACATCTTCACTTAAAAAATAATATAGCTATACCCTTTAAAAAGTCGTCCCTATATAAAGTATTTAACTTGGCTGGAGGCTAGTCGAAAAACCTCCGCGACTATACTAGAATTTTGTTATTTCTTCAGTGGAAACTAAAGAAGCAGGCGTTGGTGAATTGGAAGTGGTGTGTGAAGCGATGGGCGAGCGCTGCGTACGATTGCCTGTTGATATAAGAGAAGACGGTACCACGTACAAAGTGCGGTTACGGCCATCTGTTCCTGCCCATTATCGAATTTATATCACCTATGGAGGTAAGGGATTTGTTTAATTATTTTGAATACTAAAAAATGTTGTCTAATTTTGAGAAACCTGTTGATATTTCTTGAAATGTGACGTCACTGGTCGAAATGTCACGTGACTTAGTGTAATGAATAAAAATATGTTTTTCATTTGCCTGATAACATTTTATGGGAAAAATAAATCTGACAATCATCATCATCAGCCCTGTTACGTCCCCACTGAAGGGGCTTAGCTTTTCTTCCTTACAGTTAGTTAACGAGAATGGGCCATAATCCTCCACGTTGGCCCAATGTGGATTGGAGTGTATTGACGACTGTAAATGCAACCAAGACCAATGGCTTAACCAGCCTTCCAAAGCACGGAGAAGCTCGAAATAAAAATTTTTTGGTCCCCCATCCCGTGACCCTTGCGACAGTTCATTAATAACACTGATCACAGGTTGCGGCACTTATCCACTGGTTATGATCATTTGAAAGTTTTAAATTACTTATCGCAAATCAGTCAAGTAGCCAATTATGAATGTTAATATCTATCTATTATGATTTAATCAGGTGCATCAGTATCGGGCAGTCCCGTATCTCTGGGCGTATTAAACGTACACAGTAGTATCGCCGCGAGATGTGCCGGTACAGGTTTAGTACACGCTCACGTTGGTAAAGAGGCCGCGTTCACTATACACTGCGTGGAAGACTCCGCGCCCACTGTACAGGTAAGTAATAACTCATAGCGATGTACAGTAGGGGAATGAAAATGTTCGTCGAATTACAACAGGGTATTCTACTCCGTTTGTAATAATATCGTACTTGTTACTGTTTATTTTAATTTAAAAAAGCCATAAAACATATATTACGGAAATATAAATACGTTTTCTGGTCTTAAAATTAATCAAAATTTAAGCTTTTTTTTACCCGCGAATACGATGTCCGTCATATTCATGGTGTCTCTGTGATATATACACAAAACAGGTGCATAGAGTAAAAGATTAAAAGATGTCAATAAAACAAGAGCAATGCCATCTAACGATAGAATACGAAGTAATAATATATACATCTGTTTCTATTGGCGTAACATTACATACATACATCCTATTTTTGGTTATGTTGAGACTGATTATTATAGTATGTATTATTGAACTGTTGCAAGCTAAAGTGAATTTAAGGTGACGAAACTTTCCATTCCCCTACAGCACACGCAGCATACCCGGAATCGATTGTGAACTTAACTATCATCAGAGTAAGGTTTTAGTGATTCGAAAAATAAATGGTATTGCAATGAACTATTATGTACAAACTGTCACATTTCTTCACTTGATTAGTTATTACGACGTTAGTTCATTGTAAATAGAGTCAATTAAGAAAATTCAACACAACATTATGGTAGTCTGACGTGCAGCTGTGTGCAAGTTTAATTTTATATCACGATAATGCATGTGTTATCTAAGAAAACACAGAAGTAATATAAACATGTATAAAGGTTGGCACCCATTTTCTTAAACCTGTCGTAAAAGACACTTATTATATCTCTTTCTTTCTATGTCTCTCTTTCTCTTTATTTCTCAGTCTTTGTGACTCCATTTTCAAGGTGCCTTCTCTGATGTACAGAGTTTGATTCAAATATAAAATATATATAATGCACATTAAAGTGATAGCACCTTCATTATTTCAAAGGTAACACGCAGACTACTTGAATTCATATCAGAGCAATATGTATTACAATATGATACAGATATACTATATCAGATTGTATGTAGATCCATATTAGTATATAATTTAAAAAATGTTAATTGTAGCAAATAGTCACAAAATAATTAAGTTTATTCTGTTCATTGCATGTAGGTGGAAAGGTTAACCGACAGCAAAGATGAGAACACAGACTCAGGATTATTAGAATGCCGAGTAGTCGCCGGAGCACCAAGAGAATGGCTTTGCGCCTACATCCCGCTTGTGGTCGGATTGTACGAAGTGCGGATATTCACCTCATCAGGGCCATTACCAGGAAGCCCGTTCTCTGTCAAGGTATTTATTTATAAACCATCCATAGATAGTGATATCCATAGGAGCGATATAGTACTAGTATATATATATATATATATATAATCGAAGGAGTATCACCATCTCTAAGGAGTTAATAACGGAGAAAACAATGTTATTAAATTGTAACTGATCAAGCAAACTACAAACTATATTGTTACCAAATAACATAAATATTCATAGTGTCGTATAAAAGGAAGATTTTTTTATGTATACACTTAATTTTATTTATACAAATACTCAAATGTTTATTGCAAAACCATAGTGTTATATTGATATTACAAAATAATAATATCAGTATCAAACTATGGACCCTGTCGGGCACAGCAACACTTTAGAGAAAGGAGGACTTCATATCAAAAATAAAATAAGTGTTCTGGCAATTTAATAATAATCATAATTCTACAACATCAAAGACAAAAAAAAATAATAAAAAATAAGTTCGAAAACCAAGACATATACAATACATGTTACAACAGTTTGTTTTGTTATGATCAGAGGCATACGACTACACTGTCCTTTGGTCATTGCTTTTATAATATATTGTAGCTATCGAAATAAAATAAATTTCTTGTTTTAAACTTTTTAGAACGTGATTTAGCTGTAGTCGGGTTTTAATTTTTTACGTATTTTAAATTAATTTTCGGGTATATTTAAGCAAAAGTTATGAAGGGATTGTAATGCGTTGTAAAACCCCTTGCCAAATTTACGGACGGATTCGAACTCGTTACTATTATTTATTACACACAATAGACTACACGATATATTAACTAATTAAAACACGTCACGACTTTACAGAAACGTTTTACTTTATAGAAAGATATACATGAATTTAAAACCAACATTGATATTAAAATAGACAAGAAACAGAAACATAAAAAAGCGATAAGCGCAAGTTATTTTTAAGCAATTAAAGGCGGCGAAAGCAAAGCAAGAAGTGTAGCTCGTCGATCCGTCGTTGCCTTATATTCATTTTGTCCATTTGCGTCCGCTCCGGGGGCTGGTAGGAAGTGGCTTGCCAATGCGTCGAACACCCCTTTCTAGGCCGTGCACCAATTAGCGATGCATGAGGCGGTCCTTACGGCCGGACAGGTTTCGATGTTGTCGCGAGAACAATAGATCGCCTGATCATCGTATGATTTACGACTCTGGATTCATTTATAAGCGGCAGCGTATATGGTAGTGATTTTAGTCGCTACAGTTATATATATATGAAACACGGAATGATTGAATAATAATTTTTTTTTAGCTTCTTACTTTATTATCTCTAGAGAGCGTTGTTGCCAATTTATTATAACGTCACGTTACCTATAGCACGCGGACAACTAAGACGCTTCTAATGATACTTCATTTGTCCAGTTATGATGAATAGTTTCGAACTTATAACGGAACAGATGAACATTTTACACACATACTGACCAAAACCATAACTCTCTTTTCGCCGCGCCACCGTAGTCGGGTAAAAAGATGACTATTTATATACACTTTTCATTGAGAAGTTACCTAGGCAAATATCAAACTGAACTACATAAAAACATTAATGTAGTAAGTTTATTAGTCGATCTAATAAAAACACCTTCATATACAGGTTATAGACACTTCCGCTATTCTGCCAGTGGGTGGTTGGGGTGCTGATAACTCGGGCAGAGTTAGAGCACCCTCTAAACTAGTATTAGACACAAGTAATGCCGGACCAGGAACATTGGAATGTTTACTAGCAGGCAGACACCAGCGTAAGTATTCTTCTAGTACAATTATAGTTAAATCATCTAAAATGTCATACAGCCAGTTTCTGAATAGAGAGAAGTGCAAAATCTCATCTGATTATTCTCAATAACTTAAGTTTTTTACATTTCATACGTTAAAAAGTCAAATCATTAGAAAACTCAAATCAGAAACGATAACCCGTTTAAGTGACGTTCGAGTACAGTTTGAGATGTTGTTAACTTTATTTTCTCAATTCAGAAACCGGGTGATAGCATAATAGTGTCTCAATAATGAATCTGGGCAGAAGAATAAATTTTGAAGCGTGCCAAATTCTATCAAAATTATCTTGAAAATTTTGATTATAAGAACTAAAACGTTGCCAGCCATCACAAAGTATTGTGTGACGTCACATTTCAATAAACTAAACGTTAACGTCTTTGTGGCGAGTGCAACCAGTACTCGTTTTATTTAAATGTGACGTCACGGCTTTGAATGTCAAGTGACTGGTTGTTTTCACGGGTCATTTAAAATAAACGTGTGGTTGCCCGGAAAAAATTGTTTTTAGCGATAAGGCCACCGATTGTACTGTAAATTTGTGCTAGTATTCATTTTTTTTTCCTGGTGTATACGATAAAGTAATCATTAATTAATGAACAAGACATGAAAAAGTCATGTTCTGTGTGTCCAGTCTACATGTCTTGGTTATAGAAAACTAACTCTATGACAACATTAAATAAAGTAAACAATACATTTTCAGGAGTTGAAACGGTATCAGGACGCGCGGTAGTGACTCTAGCTGCAGCTGAAGGTGTCAGCGGTGAACAGGAGTTAGAGCTTAGTTATAACGGGGCTTTGGTTGCCGGAGCCCCGAGGAGGGCGCTAGTGGCATCGGGCAACACTGCCGATAGAGTCACGCTCGCTGGACGAGGTCTAGCTCATGCTGCTCCACATACACCTGCAGTTTTCACAGTTGGTTAGTGCTGAGAATCATAAAAATTGCTTTTAGCTAAACTATTCAGGTGTGCTGTAAAGTGCTTTGGGGTAATCAAATATGCAGGAAAATTATGAAAATTACATTAAACAAGCAATATATCTGTCCTATCTAATTTAAAGTATTTTCATCTGTCAAAAATTTATTAATTATTAACTTTATCAATGGTTGACAAAAAATAGTGCCTGGTTTGATGGTAATTGGTAATTTGGAATTTCTCAGCTTTATTTATTACTCAAAGCACTGTACTCGTAGAAGTAATATAAAGAGGAAAGATTTGAAGGTGGCATATGTTATAATTGACGCTTGCAAAAACGCATAAAAATGGCTAGTATATCACAATCATCCGGTGCCAAGGGCATATAGAGTAGTTAATAGTTTTTACATCACGGATCACGCTGGGAACCTATAGTGATAGTTTCCCAATCTAGTATCAATGTTGTAAATACCCACAGAACACGGAAAAGAGGTTAGAAAGGCGATCATGCATCCTTTGTACGAAAACCGATGTCGCCAGTCTTGCCCCACTTTTAGTCCGCCGTACATCAGACGAAATATCAAACCAATTATACAAAAGATATGCACACACTTGCATTTTAAACATGCCAATCAGAACGCACCAATATAACTGTAACCAATCACGCTCAACTATAACAGACATCTATAGTGCGCAATAAACGTGTAAAAGCCATTTTAATTTGACATATCACACTAGTGATTGATATAAAGTTATTTACTATCGATATTGAAAAACAACAAATCGATTAATTGAAAGGATACTAGAGTAATTATTTCTTTATATTATTTTGGATATACATTGAATTGTATTGATTAAATGAGACATTATCTTTTTTCTTTAGATATTAATTCTTAATTACTTGGTTGATTCAATAAGAAATATTTAAATTACTAATGAACTAACATTGAATCGGTATTAGTCGAGCTTACATAAATATTTATATGCATATAAATTTGTTTGTTTATTAATAATAATAGTAGGTTTTTTTTACGTTACGTTACTCGATTTCGTATCAAGTAAACAGATACGGTCGGCAACATGGCTTAAATGAAACTAGTAATATTGACAAACAATATAATGTAAATAAATGTATACAAAATAAAAAAATACTATCTGTACAATAAATGCTATTGGAACTTATCCTGAACGGATTCCGATGATTTAAAAAGTATTTATGTTAATGGTTCAAAATAAAAAGAATCTAATTTTCTGTTACAAAATTGAGAATATAAAAACAGACTTATTACCACACTCATTAATAAATTTATATACAAACGCATACCAAACGAAGTCAATATGGTTAATCTCTGATTAAATTTATTTTTTATTACCACTATTTTTATCATGCATACTTTTATTTAGTCTTTACTACCTAACATACCAAGAATCGATTAAATGTTTCCAGGCACTTCACTACCCATCTACCGTAATCTATTGTGTTGCTATTAAAACGGTGATTTCGCGATGTTCTTTACATTACGTGCTTAGTACGACGCAATGTAATAAATATACGCACTTCTCCAGCAATGTATATTTTCTTGGAAATATTTTTTGTGATTCACACTTTTGATAATATTTCACGAATTTCGACTAAAAATACTAAATTTGAGAAGTGTTCTACTTACTAATGGAAAGAAATCCTTCCTTTAGACGTACTTGAGGATGGGCTTTTTGTTTTGCAATTAATAACTGCGCAAGTCGGCATTTTTAACACTTTTAGTGGCGTGTTTCACAGTACTTACAGTGCGCGCGTTCTTGAATGACTAAACATCGCGATCGCGAGGTGAAGTCACGATCCTGTACATTTGTCCGGGATCGTGGCTACACTGCCACGCCCACAAGGCCCTTCTAACGTCTTTCTGTGTTCTGTGTAAATACCCATTTATAATATTATACGAGCCAAATAATAATAGAATCGCATTAGCTACCAACTTCACGGCATAGCTGTCATTTTAGTACTGACAGCAAAAGAAATAAAGATTGCTAAACATTTTTTGGGGATCGTTTTATTTTTTACATATATTATTGGTGTTGACGTGGCTTTATTCATAAATTAATAAAATTCGTATATTTTCTAACTTAGTATCTTATTCTTTTCTTTATTGCTGAATATTTAAATTTACCATTTTTATCGCAATGTTAACAATAGCTACCCTAAACTCATCGCAATTTTATGACTAATGCCCGTTTTCACTACACTTAGGACTTGGGAGTATCCCAAATCTGACACCTAAATATTCGGGCAAAGGTGAAATTTTATTTAATCAAGGTTCACACAAAAGATTACAATCGAATAAAGTAAATGCGTTTCACGAATGACAAGGAACCATCTAACGATTTTAAGCAACACTTAAAGTTCGAACACGCGTTGTACGGCGCCTAGCGCTAACCCTTTGTGTAATGTAACATATACATTTACTCTTTCTCCATAACGGATGAGTCAAGAGATAAAAACAATTTAGTAAATTAGAATCAAGGAGTTTGCAGAAGAATTAAGATATAATAAATTATATTTTTTGAATTTTCGGACTTTTTATAAATGAGCAATGACGAATTGGGTATTCGTGTTTTGTTACCTCGAAATATATATTTTTGTTATTGTCTCTTTACGTGCAAATGCCACTAATGTGACATTATCGGATTTGTGTAAATGCAGATATGTACATACTTTTAAAAAAAAGAGGAACTGAAGCATTACAAACGTTATCATAGACAAATACAGGTTTGGTGAAATGACAAATCTGCTTATACTCTTCTTAATATTAAATAATTTCTAGTTAAGCTATGCCTTGTTCTAGGTTAGTGAAAATGGGCATTAGTTGAATTACAAATGTCAGTGTACCATAATCCGGTAATTTTGATCCTTTTTCTTTTGTACAGCTTACATCCTGACTTAAAGTTCAATGCAAACCAAGGTGGCCATCTTTTTTGAAAGTCCTATTCTTATTTGGCTCGCATAGTATAGTGCACATAATTCGAGTAATTAATTAATAGAAACAATTACTAGCTAAAACATAATGTATAGCTTAACTCAATAATATTTGTTTCTATAGATCCATTCCTTCTTTTCCTTTTTTATTTTTTAACTAAAATCGATTGATCATTTTAAATATTATTGGACAGATGGCAGCGCCGCCGGTCCAGGGAATCCAGACGCTTCCCTTACCTCTCCGGATGGAGATAACATCCCCGTGGCCCTCACAGCTGCCGGACCGGGGTTATGGCGGGCTACATACACACCAAGAAGAGCGGGAGATCATCAGCTCAGAGTCACATGGGCAGGCAGACTTGTTAAAGGTAAATTGATAAACAGCGAGAGCAGATAACCTAGTTTTGGCCATTTTAGATTTTACGACCTGCGCCCTTATTCTGTAACTCTTAGGACAATCGAAATGCTGCTGACGGTTAATTGTTTAATTTTAAAATCTAACGCAATCCCTTTCGGGCTGTGATGAATCATTGTTCTGATCAGGTTGCCCGTTAACTGTAAACGTGACAGCGGGCTCTGAAGCGGGCGACGCGTCTCGCGTAGTATGTTCCGGAGCGGGTCTAGTGGGAGGCGTTGTGGGCATGGAAATACGTTCCTGGATAGATACACGACGAGCTGGACCCGGGGAACTAACCGCTCATTGTACTGGACCTAATAAGGTAATCATAACGATATGTAACCAAGTGATTCAAGTCTGTTTTTTTAATTTTTAGAAATATCATCATCTCTGAGGACTCGGGTTCGATGATAAATAAACTTGATGAACCTTCGTTGTCTCAAACTCCATAGTACGAGCTTTAACTACTCATCTTGGAATCTGAGCAATGTGTGTGATGTTAATATTATTACATGTAATTGTTTTCACGAGTGCGATCGTCTTAATCTTGCCATGACTGCCATAGGAGCCATATGATACGGTATCTTGACAATGTTATGTAGATATTTTATTTCATTTTGTGACGGATTCGATGCTTAGGCAAATACTATTCGATGAGAACTTGATTGAATAAAAGGTAAACAAAAGAGGAATATAAAACAGTTCCGTGTGGTTACCTAAATAATAATATTAAAATAGAAAAAAACGTGTATTACGTGTTATATTACTACACCCCCCCCCCCCCCCCTGCCCCTTGTGATATTTTATGATTTGTGACGAACCCCCTTCTCCCCTTTCGAGCCTACATACATTTTACTTACTAAAATGGATGTGTGTAACATCTGCACGATCCAACGATATCACACGCCACATATGAAAAGATACGAGAAAATACAATAACTAACTCGATACGTACGATGCCAAGTACATTTGGCATTAATACATTTTTCCTCGATCCACTGATTTTTTACACAATACTACACTGTGACCATTGACACGATACCAGTACTGAAAGTATAAAGCTTAGTATACTTGTCGTCAGGTTGCTTACTGCGAGTTATACGAGCACGGCGACGGCACGTTCACACTGAACGTGAAACCGGCAGAAGCGGGCCGACACGTGTTAAGCGTTCAGTTCGCCGGTGACCACGTGCCCGGCTCGCCCTTCGTACTCAAGGTAGCCGGAGCACCAGACCCATCCAAAGTAAGTTTCAATCCATTTTTAACTTCAGTACATTAATCTCCCGTTTGCGGCAAAGTCAAGTTCTTATCCCACGTGTAAACTAAACAAATCCCGAGCGTTTATGATATCGCCTGTAATACTTAGAAGTCTCAGTGGATCAACAAGCGGTTTTTTGTGTTATGTTCTCAGATAACTAACCTTGCTTACGAGAACAAAAATAGTATGAGTAGTGATAGGCACATATTTTATACGATGTCGATAATTTACATGTCGCTAAATTCTATCGATGTTTTTATTATATAATGAATAAAAATCGTGAAGCGTATTGAACCATATTTGATTAGGTTAGGTTAAGTTAACAAACAAGTAAATATGACAACGTACAAGGCGAGCAAGCAAAATAAGCGTGCCGTGGCAACGGCCGGCGAAATTCCAGAAACGAATCGCTGTTGTAAAATAAAACAGCAAATTAAACCAATTAATGCTCAGAACGCGTCGTTCCTTTTCTTCGTTACCACGTTCAATTTTAAATATATAGCAGCTGAATACAGCACTACTTAAGTACCAAACCAAAGTAGTGATAAAAGCAAATATAAAAATATTATTTTTGGTCATTGTATTTAGAAAATACTTGTGTAAATAATGAGAATAAAATGTTATTTTACTTTAAAATATAAGTGATTTAATATATGTATTATAAATCACGATAAATAAACAGTTTTCACTATTTCTATGACATAGAATGGTATGACAGATGACAAAACTCACAATGTTTATACTTCTAGCTACCATGAGCGCTGCGATAGATTGCGTTACCCCCACCTAGTACTTCGCACCCAACGAATACACAAAAGAATAAGATTAAATTTTCGTAAACTGGTCCTTCGATTTGCCAATTATTTTCCAATTTATATTATTTTTCCAAGATTTGCCAATCAACTCATGTATTATTTTCCTAGGTCCGCGTGTATGGTCCAGGGGTTGAGCCTGGTGTCCTGGCTACGTTCCAGTCTCGTTTCTTCTGCGACACACGAGGCGCCGGCGCTGGACAACTGACCGTGCGCGTGCGTGGACCAAAGGGAGCATTCCGAGTGGAGATGCAACGAGAAAACCAGAAGGACCGCACTATACTGTGCAAGGTAATCGACGTTGATCTTTTAATGTCCCCATTTATGAGGTATATCCCTTCTCAATGATATACTGTGCAAGGTGATCACCCTTTAATATAGATTTCAGTTTCTAGGTTTCCTCTCATGACCGTAATGTTTCGTTGATGTGTTACGCCTTCTTCTGCAAATGCCTGTCCACCATTCTGGTTTCGTTGCCTACTCGTTCTCTATTTCTCCCATACGACTGGAATGCCTTACCCCTTACCATTCGAAAAGCACCCAATAAATTTAAGTTCAAGAAACTGGTTCGTGACTTGTAAATCAGTCCCATCGTATCTGATTCATTTTTGCAAATATTGTAATTCAATGTTATGTATATATGTATGTATAAATTATTATTATTATTGTAAATATTATTATGTATTGTTCTATGTCACTTACAGCCAGTTGCACAATCATCCATTAAAATTCTCATTAGTTTAAAGCGACATTACCCATACAAATTTGACAATCATTAGAGCTTAAAGGCATCCTTAAACCTTAATGGTAGTTTGTGCAACTGTCCATTATTTTATTACTCTTTTTATTGTCTTTGTTGCGCCACCTCCTATGGTTTATTTGACATCCTTACTGGTCGACTAGCAGAGAATTCCGTACGGCATTAAGTCCGTCTTTTACTGCATTGCAATAAATATTGAATAAATGATCTCCCAACTTCTGAGGTACAGGCCTTCTCAAGGATGGAGTCGAGTAGGAACAGATCCTTACCCCACCACGTAGACTAGTTTATATATCAACGGTTTTAGATATTACCTGATCAGTGGTTTTACATATCCCTAGAAAATGGAAGCATAACATATATGATGTCGTATTATGTTATCAATACTTTTACCTTGTGGCAACATTGAATTCGATATTTTCGAGGCCTTCCTATTTATACTACATGCGTTGATACGGTAGTCGAGATAAAATAATACTTAAATTTATCTACTGATTAACGTAACTGATTTAAATTTATCGCCACCTTTTGTTAGATAAATTTGATCGGATTTCATAACAATTCGATTATTGTAACAAAATTATCATTAACCACAGCTAATCGACTATACTTGATTAAAATTAATAAACTTGAATTTCAAGGCACCTTATTAACGTTGAATTTTAATTTGTTATTCTAATATTTGTATATTGTAGCAAAAATCTTGCAAATGAAAGATAACCTGAGCACTGACTTGCGTCCTAATGTTATCATAACTATATATTTTTGGGTCAAAATAAGAAATCTATTACATGTAAATAAACATAATCTGATTTTCAGTGATGAAATCGCATGATAACCTTAAGTTAAAATTAATAGTTTTTTGTCTATTTCTCCTATGACTTGAAACACCTTTCATTGTGTGACGTATTTTCGGAAAAATGTCTGCATCTTCTTCTGCCTCGCCTTTTCCCGTTAAGAGAGGATCGGCTGTCTTAATCTTGAGGCTCCACTCATTTCGCTAGAAATGGTCATCTTCTGTGAGGCTTATATTAAAGATACATCATACGCACTACATAGGCTATTATTTACGCGGGTGAAGTCGCGGGAAACAGCTAGTTTCTTATAAAGCAGGTTCCTAGATTACGCTGTTCGTATCTTACTTATCTTTTTATTTTGTAGCGAGATCGTTAGATAGAATCTATTTGTTAAAAAATGTACTCTATACGTCTGTTTGATGTACATATCGGGATGTTACCACGAATGTCATGAACAGAGTTTCGCTGGTATAAAAAAAATGCTTTTAATCTAAAAGCAAGAAAACGTGTTTACACAAGTAGTTTACCATCAGAATATAATTAACATAGTAATGATATCAATTAGGAAGTATTTAAAAAATATATAAGTTCCCGAAATCAAACTAGATGTCGCTACGCTACTTTCTTGATTTCAATCCTTCAAGTTTTCGTTCACGTCTAAAAGTAAATTAATTTTCAAAACTCAATAAACTACTCATATTATATTTGTACTTTTTCGTGTTTGTATTGATACCTAAGTTTTGAACTTTGCAAATTACAGTTTTTTACTATATTAGTTAAAAGGAACGGAAATTACTATCTTTGGTCCATTCGTTTCCTGCAAAAATCAACTTTTGCTAGTCATCATCTAGTGAGGCGCTTTTTTTGTGCTTAATTTTTTTCTTAAAATACTTCCTCATTCAAAAAAATTACTTTGTCCACAGTTCTCGCCTACTGAACCGGGTGACTATAGGGTCGAAGTAAGGTGGGCCGGTCGCCACGTACCCGGATCGCCGTTCCCGGTTATGATCTTCGACACGCAAGAAGAGTTACGTCGATACCTCCAAGCGACCGCCGCCTGACCACCGAACAATTTAACTACTGTATAAACTACTTACCAAACTCGGCAACTTATAGTGCTCAATATTCTAACACAACTTCTTTTCGTATCTCCTTGATGAAATTCTTGATCGATACTTTTAATTTGTTTATGATACATAAATAGGACAAAGCGTTATATTTCCAATCTTGTCGTACAGTCAAAAAAGGTAATGTTCTTTTTATTGCCAATATTAGTTATTATCTGTATTAGAAATACCTTAAAAACATATTGTAAATGCTAACATGGATATGACTCGTGAAAATTCTTTAGATCTTTGATAAACAAGTTCTTAATAGCTGGTGTTTTGTCTGTTTTTAATAGAAAATTATAAAAACCTAATTTATTTTTCTTAGTGTACAATAAAAATTATGTATAACTACAAGGATCTGAGTCATGTCCATACTACGACAACAATTTTTTTTGTATCTTCCATACAGAACAAAGAACACGAGAATTAAAAAATAAACGAATACAAATATTATCATTGTATTGTAATGAATCTTACATAGTTTACTTCATTCCGTCCAATATTTAGGTATGTTATTTGTTAAATTTAACATTTCTTATCAACTATTTTTCTTTTTTCTATCACTTTCTAAAAGTACATTTAAATGCAAAAAGGAATTAATTTTAAGAAGAGCATAATAATTTGTTTATTTGTTAATATTTATTAATGGCATTTAGATGTAAAGTACATTAAATTAACTTTTGTAACTAACGAATTATTTTATTGTTATTACGCGGTCCAGTTCATGTTGTTACAGCTTGTACAAGATGGAACTGCATCGTGTAAACCTGAGCTATTCAGTTACTAATTTGTTAATAAAGTGAAACTTATTATTGCTGTGGTTTGATTTCTTCGTTAATTTCACAAACCTTTTAATTATTATATTTACCTTTTACCTTTACCTTTTAATAAACATTATTATATTTTATACTTCATTTTTTATTACATACTTAATAATAAAAACAGGTAATGTGTGGGGGTAATCTTCAGAAATACTGATCCGGTCATGAAACTAGTTGTAGGTATACATAAAAGAAACAAGGAGATTAGGGGCCTTACCACTAAAAGACATCTCTTCCAGTAAGCCGTTTATCTGATTCGTAGTAAGATACATATTCTTTTACATTACATTTAAATTTCAATGCTGAATCTTGAAGATGTTTGTACTCTCATGAACTATAATTATGTATTAGATATGGTGTAAAGTCGTGATAATAGTAAATAAAAGCTATCGTCTAACTTGTAGGTACATATTTTTTACTACGTTCCTCGACATCCGTGGTAAATTGGATGCCCGCCCACTCTAACGATCGTCCTCCAATGTCGATCGATAGGGGGGAAATTTTATTCTTAGACAATAATTACCTTTCGAAACTCTTGGAAAGAAAAATATCTATTTAAGGTAAGGCAATAGGGGTATAGACAATTTTTTTATAAATGATAAAAACTTATTGCCGCGTACTTAACTTATTTTTGTTTACTGTCTACGTCCATATTAACGCCATCATTAAATAAGGCCGGTGACTGAATTTTTGTGCTTAAAATACGTCTATTCCTGTTCAAACTTTACTCACACATGCATAACAAGACTTATCTAAAGGTAGTTCTATATATCTAAAGTAAGTAAGTATATCTAAAGTACGCATGTGTGAGAAAAGTATGAACGGGAATCGAGGTTTTACGCGAAATCTATGGCAGGCTAATTAAGCATATGAACGGCGACGTAATCATCTTGTTTAAACCAACGCAATGTAACAATGAGACACGCAATAAATGAATTATTATTATGTTTAAGACATCTATAATATAATAACATACAAAAGAAAAATTATGTTTATGAGCTCAATAAATGGTATTGCAAAAGGAAAACAATGGAATATCACCACGCTCACATAAACAGATACCAAACAATTACTTCATATCCATCAAGTTGCACAAACGTCCATTAAAATTGACATTAGTTTAAAATTACATTACCCATAGAAATTAAACATTCATTAGAGCTTAAAATCGTCATTAAACCCTGATCGTTTGTGCATCTGACCGATAATCACTTAACTGTTACTTTTTTACATAGATACACGCACGGAAACACACACAGAAAGAGAGACTAATCACAATATGGTGTAAATTTTTAATTCTTAGAACTTCTTTAGGCTTAAACACTAGGTTTGTATCTAAAAGTCAGTGTTCGTCGATCAGGATACGCAACTCGAGTGTTTCCCGAGAGCTGTCCGCGCAAAGCGTCAAGACTCTGCCAGAGCTGTTGCATCTGTCCGTAAATTATCAGTTCCAGCCGCTGAATGGAGTTGTGCAGTTCTCCTAGAAGAAAAATTAACATTTATCAAGTAGGCTAAAGGGATGTAAAAAAAAAGTAAATAAAAAAAAGATAATTATTAAGTCTGTCAGTAATATTAAAAATATTCATGTTTGCTACAATTTAACAAGAAATAGCTTAGAATAGGCATTAGTTGTAGAGTGAGAGCTCGCTACATCACAATTATGTGGAAAATGTAAAAAGGTGTGACGTCATGTAACATTTCAACTCAATGTATTACCGTTATTTATTAATTACGTAAAAAATAAAACACGTGATTATTATTCTTGGATAATCTACCCGACGCACATACAAAAGAAAAATAATCATCCACCCTATTGAGCTCATCATAGAGTTCTTACTATTTTTTTTAACCTACCTTATACAATCTATACTAAATTAGTACTAATATTATAGACAGGAAAGACTAGATTGTTTGTTTACATTATCATCAAGTCCAATAATATTAGTGAAATCTCTTCCTCACAAATCAATGATGATTGATATCTAAATATAGGTATATAACTCAAAGGTGACTGACTGACATAGTGATCTATCAACGCACAGCCCATACCACTGGACGGATCGGGCTTAAATTTGGCGTGCAGGTAGGTGTTATGACTTAGGCATCCGCTAAGAAAGGATTGATCGATACTACCCCCAAGGGGATGAAAGTTGGTATGAAACTGTCAATTTTAAACCGATCGGGCTGAGACTCCGCATGCATAAAGCTACTATGACGTAGGTATCTCCAATGCCGTCTTTACCATGAGGGCACTAGGGGCCAGTCCAAGGGCCCCCATCCTCAGAGGGCCCCGCAGGACCGACAATTCCTCTCACATTTAACATCATAATATTATACTCGGGCGCATTACACTTTTGTCGTTGCACGATCGTCGATCATTTTCAGATTTATTCAAATCAATACATTTGTATGAATAATTTGAGTGATTCGAACACCTTTATAACTTACCATCAAAGTTTATAATCTTAACGTCTATTTTCAAGTTACTAATTAGATTTTTTATTCTGTAATTTAAAAGTTTGCAGAATATAATAATATTTCTGAACGCATCTAATTTACTAAGCACACCATCAAGCGATCATCCATGCAAATCACTCCGATGCCAAAGTCATATTAAACGTCGACTTTGTCTATAGTTGGGGGAATCCCCGGATGATGTACTTTCAGTTGGACAGAAGTAACGTGATTTGATTTGATTTAATATAATTTGGGTAAGATTAATAGAAGTTTTGATTTGAACATTTAAATATTATTTCATAATGTCGAAAAGAACATAAGTATTTAAGTGGTTCACAAAAGAGAAAAAATTTGTACCTGGTACATACTGTAACGACATTTTAACGGAAGAAGTCCGTAATATTCGGATTCGAGTTTTTCCAAAATAAAGAGACATAGTTTTTCCAAAATAAACATTGTGACTTTTCCAGAACTTCTACAAGTTTTCCAGATTCATATGAAAAAACAAAAACTAGATTGACAAAAATATTTTTACCCGTAAAATTAACGAATGGTAAGTCTCTGGACAGAAAACGGCTCCTTTATTCTCCAGCAAAGAAATCTGTGTATTGCTACTGCTGCCGTCTATTTAATACCACTATTGGTACTGGACATAATTAAAGTTCTCCAAATGGATATAAGGATTGGAAACATATAAGTAACTTATTGATGGAGCATGAGAACAGTTTGTAACACAAGCAATCTATAATGAATTATATTACAAAAATGAAAACTACTGGACTAAACTTTTAATGAATTTGATCCGTTTCTTACTGATCGTGGAAAAGGAAGTATATATATCTGCAAATATTTCAATGAATTCATTGATTTAACAGGACAGCTAGTTTTAAAATCAATTGTCAAAGAACTTAAATCAGCAAATTACTACTCTATTAGCGTAGATTCTACGCCGGATCTATACCACGTTGGTCAGCTCACTTTCATCGTTAGATATATAAAATGTCGGAGAACCTATTGAGTTTGAGGATTTAATAAAAGATTTTGCTCAACATAAATCTCGAAAGAAATTATTGTCGTAATCACAATAAAAAAATAGCAGCATACACAATACTATCATTAATGACATACTATATTATTATACCTATTTGATTAATAAAGCTGATCATAGTAAAAAAAAATTATATTGTCCTATTCGCTCTCTTTAAATTCCAAAAGGGCCCTGAATTTTTGTGTGCCCAAGGGCCCCAGCATAGTCTAAGACGGCCCTGGGTATCTCCTAAGAAAGGATTTTGATAAATTCCATCACTAAGGGGATGAAACTTTATTTCAGGTATTTTACACGATATAATGAATAAATATTCGTTAGAAATGCTGCTCAAAGTTACTTTATCACGTGGACGAAGTCTCGGGCAAAAGCTACTAGACTTCTGATGGATTTACAATGCAAGTAATCGAGATGCGTTTGTTAGATAAACATTAGCAGAATTGACTTGCCGGAATCTTGCACACACGGAATAGGGGATCAGACAACTTTCTAAAAAGTATTTTAAATTATTTAATAGGGCACTTATTTCTACAAAAAAAAATATTTCTAGTAAATAAACCTCATTATGTATCTAAATCTGTGTTTAAAATTTAACTATTTTAAAAACCGAGTAAACTGCGACTCTAGAGCACATGACGTCATTTGAGAGGTAAACATTTTCAGTGAAAAAAACTTTCACTGCCATTTTCATCCCTACTAACTACCCAAATACCAATTTTCATCGTATATCGCTATAGTAGGTTCAAAAACGAGGAAGTTTCATACAAACGTAAACCCTTTTTGACCCCCATGGTAGTGGAATTTACAAAAATCCTTATAAGACGAATGTACCCTCCAAATTTCAAGTCTCTACGACCAACGGTTTAGGCTGTTTGTTATCTGTCAGTCAGTATTTTAGGACATCTCCTTATATGTATAGAAATATGTATAGATGTCCATATGCAAGTGTAGTAGTCTTAACAGTACTCACTGGAAGTAACAACTCCATGCAGTCTTCTGGTGATGGTAGCGTTAGCAGTGGCGTTGACCTCCTGTGTGCGCACAGAGCATGTGGCCCGCGCTTCTTCCCTGGGCCCTGCACCATGGTAAGTCGCATTGTGAACTTCTACGTAAGGCTGCCTTGAATCTGTCTTAGACATCGTATACCGTGGTCGACGAGCTGAAAAATTATAAAATTACTCATCTTATTAGTTTTAACTACCTTCGATGGCGCAGTGCTAATTTAGTTTACGATTCTGAAGGTCGAAAGCCGGTTTTAGGATGAGTGACCAAAAATTTACAATCTTCAATATCCTTTGTACTTCGCGGCGACACTAGTTAATACTTGCTATTTAACTAGTCTCGCCACGCGTTAATCCGCACTTGGTTACGGTCCATTTCACCTTTTCGAATGCTTCTGGACATTGTCTCCCTTCTCAAAGAGTTAGTATACGCCGTCAGTATTAACCATCCATAAGGAAGGCCTGAGCCCATGCAGTGGGGACGTAAAAGGGCTGATAATGAAGATGATGATGCTTCAATCTGATGATATTAATTTATGATACTTCAATTACATCAAGCAAAAAAAAATTACAAGTACATTGGTATTTGTAATAAATTTTTTTATATCGCAAAGAACGATTCTGACACGCGCACAGAGTTTGCCGCACATTATATTAGCCAAATGAGGGCTTATAGCAGTTGATATCGGTGATATAATACCCACAGCTCACAGAAAGAGGTACATACGGATCCTGAGCAAGATTTTCAATCACAACATGTTTTAGTATCCTATATTTCATCAGTTTATAAATTGAGCTTGAACGAAAAAGGCAAGACACTTATTTAATGATTCAAAAATAAAACGTCGACGATTCTGGATAGATAAGTTGGTTAAATTTTACATTAGGTAACAACTAGGATGTAATAATAATGTTGTATAACAACTTAAATTTCCTTTTTTATGGTACTTCTATTAATAGACGCTGTCAATAAACCACAAAAAAAAATTGGCACATCCACGAAATAGGTCAATTATCGTCCAATTGCGAAAGACGTAAATGAATTCGGCATAGTTTTATACTCTGAGATATTACTCGTACTTACATTGATTTTCGTAAGCAGTTTTGAAAGAAGATATCAGACACGTTAGAAAATTTTATTGTAATTCTACATATAACAATATTTCAGCGAATAGAAATATAATTACTTAAGTGACTCCTTTTTACTTTTTTTACGCAATAATCGCATCCTAATAAAACTATTTGCATTTTGTCAATATATAATCTCTACCTGAAGTCCAATATTATAAATGCAATGTTTTCGTCACAAAACAGTGGTGAGAGATTTATTATTTTGTGATCCTAGTATCAAGAACTGTGACAGAGGTTAACTGTAATTATATATTCGGTTACAAATAAAATAGATTTGCTTACCCTTTTGATAAATTGGAGCTGTCGTCACCAAACATACATAAAACAAAGCTGTTATAATTCCAACCTTAACCCACATGTTTTAAAATCTAATTTTAAAAACACGTAATTAATCTAAAATTACAAACGTATAAAATCTCACACTTTTCCCAGAAGAAAATAAAAAGGTTTTTTGTTTTCTAAACATTTTCTGTTTACATTCGTTAATTTATATGGCGGTGCCGCGTCTACATGTTGTTACTTTATGGTGCCCACATAGACTGAGAGAATTAGAACTTGGTACCATGAATAAATACTATGGATCATCACACATGTAGACATTACACTCCAAACTCGGCAACGACTACAATACATTAAAGGTATAATAGTTGCATCCAGGGCTCGTAAACCTAGTTATCATTCACTCTATAGGTACATTTTTGACAGTTTCCCTTTGGGGTCCAGTTATTTATAATAGGAATTATTTTAATTCTGATCAAAGATTACACAAAAGTTTTTCAGTACCGAAATACCAGTTAATATCGCTCTTAGGTTTTAGTTCTTACTTCAAAAATTGACTTTTTATTGTTTTATATCTTCGCAATGTTGCACCTATTATTGTTTAATATCAGTGCAATCATAAGATACGGCGTCCGCAGTTATTAATTAAATCTAACCCGATTAGGAACAGGGTTCGATTAAGAGGGCCAAGTTGAGCCGTTGCACCGGGCGCCAAGGTCAAAATCATCGTACATTCACCGAAAAGTTTTTTTAATTACATGATATTTAGCTACAATCGAGCGGAAATGTTTTCAAAATCCAAGACAGGGGCTGCAGTCTGGTCTGAGTTTGCGATCGCAATCTTACCGAATTCGATCGCTATCTAGGAACTAGCGATTACTAGGAAACTAACAAATATCGCTAATTTGACAGTGGCATTCGATAAAATGTAACTTAATATAGAAACACCGGTAGAGACACGGGTAGATTTTACGATCGGTTTGAATGAGTGGTCGAATTCGGTAAGATTGCGATCGCCAAACTCTGTCGTGACTGCAGTCCCTGGTTAGATTATAAACGGTCGTGAAAATTCTCACTTCAAAATCTGATTAATTTTTTAAAGTAACCAGGTTTTCAAACTATTCGCAAGCCCTGGTTGCATCGAAGAGGCACTATTGCCTAGTACATTGCTTTCATAATTACTTAAGTTTATGACGTCATCGCAGTATTTAGAACTGCCTATGAAAGTTTTTATTGCTGTCGCTTGCATTGTAAAGTCATTGACAATATTGCTTTTCACTATAATTTTGAGATTTGAGTAACATGTTATACTTACACACATTCATTTCGTATGTGCTTGAAATGAGACCAATAAAAGAAGAAAGACTCTACTATTCCTCGCTTATCCTAATCAACTAAAACAGCAACAAAATAAACATTTGCCTCGTCTCTTAAAATATGCAGTCACTAATTCACATCACTACATAGTATAAAACAAAGTCGCTTTCTTTGTTCTGATATCATGTGTGCTTAAATCTTTATAACTACGCAACGGATTTTGATGCGGTTTTTTTTTCATAGATAGGGTGATTCAAAAGGAAGGTTTTTATGTATAATACAAAACCACGCGGGCGACGCCGCTGCCGGAAAGCTAATTTGTTAATATAACAAAATTGTATCGACTTTGCATATACATAACCAAATTTGTAAGTAGACCAAATCGATAAAAATACATAATTTATTAAGTAAACAAATATTAATTTCATTAATTTTGCATATTTCATTAAAAATATTATATGAATTGATCAATATAATTTACTGAACAAATTTTCATCTTTATCGAAAGTTTTAATATTCATAAAAATATTTCTTTCGGCTGTTTGCATGAACATTAATGAAAATACGTTCTGTTGTAGCGAAAAAGAAACAAGTGCTTGAAAATGCCGACAGACCTGTTAGGTCCTGGATAGCTCAATGGTTAGAGCAGTCGCGCGGATTGCGATAGGACGTGGGTTCGAGTTCCATATCTTAGCATTTTTCATTAAGGTTCGAGTTCCATCTCTTAGCATTTTTCATTAAGAATAAATAAATATTGCCAAAACAAAAAACATGCTTTAGTAATAATAAGTACTATAATTAGTATTTACAATCCGCCCTGTAAAACTTACTTACTTAATTTTTAATTCAATTTACTTGACATAATTTCGTGTTAACATTATAACGGGTTATGAAGATACCAGAAATAGGTTCAGTGAATATTATTTACGCATAGAAACATGGTTCACGGTCGATACCAAAATAGTAACAAGGTGATATCAAAATGAAACAGATACGCTGTGTTTAAGATGGTATTCCACCAGCCACGATAAAAATACATAAATATTTGAGATGTTTATCGAAATAACGTTAGGTATTCATTGAAAAATCACATCATGTTAAATAAAAAACCCCGAAAACTGATAATTTATGTCAAAATATTTTTGGACATTAAATGAGGAAGTATTTAAAAAAAAACATTAGTTCCCGAAATGAAATAAGATGTCGCTACGGTACTTTCTTGATTTCTCCATGACAACCCTTCCGGTTTTCTTTCATGTATAAAAGTAAATTAATTTCCATAACTCAATAAACAACTCATATTCTATTTCCACTTTTTCGTATTTGTGTGGGATAAAGGGCAGGAGGATGATGATCTAAGTTTCGAACTTTGTAAATAATTATTTTTTAATATGTTAGTTAAAAGGATCGGAAATGACTATCTTTGGTCCTGCAAAAATCTACTTTTGGTAGAGTCGCCATCTAGTGAGGTGATTTTTAGTGGAGGTATCATTAAAATATACAAATATTTATATATAATAATATCTTTATAATTATCATCATACATATACAATAAATTGCATTAACTAAATAGCATACGCAAAAAATCTTTACTTTTTCATTATAATAAATCCTTTTTTTATTTACTAATAAAATGCAGGATGTGATTAACCGATTTCTTTGTACAAAACCAATAAAAAGATAATCATTTATGGTGTACGCACCCTGATAAAGCATTCATGTAAGATGAGTTCATTCGCTTAACCTCGCTACTGCCAACCGTGTGATGATGCCTTTAAAATCTTTCCAATACTAGAGAATACTTGTTTGCCCAAATTTATCGAGCATACTCATTACAAAGAAAATATATTGCATAGTACAAATGAGCGAGATATATCAAGTACAATACTTAACAATCATAGCTGTAAGACAGTTGTCAGCACACCACTTAAAGCATCAATCTAGTCTAAGAGCTCGTGAAACAAATGTGCAATAGCTTTCTAAAGCTTGGTTTTCCGCATTTTGAAGTAATGGGTATCATTATTACTCAATGCGAAGGTCAGGTGCTGGAACACCTATTGGCGGCAGGGGAAACGTTATAGTAAGAAATCTAACACATATTAAAGGTGCTTTTTAATAGTTTAAATTTAGCGAAAAACTTATGGTATTAAGCATAAGTTATAATTTTAAATATAAGTTCTAAATATAAGTAATAATTTTTTATATTAATAAAAAACCAGTCTTTGTTGTTCGGATTGCACATCGTGATTGTGTGACACGGGGACTCAGCAGATATTAGAAGTTAGTGTGAAAATAAGCAATGAAAAAGAGTTAAGTAATATTAATATTTAGTAGAGTTTAGTAAAAGGTATTTTTTACAAAATTATTAGTGGTAAGGTTATAAAAAAATCTCAGTTTAATTTAATAGAACAAACACCCTAGGAGTGATGTATAGTGTTTCACGTACTGAAATACAATTCTGAACTGAAATTAAAAGAAAAATGAAAGCTTTAGAAAGTTCTTGCACTTTTTCATCGCAAGCTCTCCGTCTAATCGTGCAATTCAACATTTTTTATAAATTTAGAACAGCAATTTTTTTCACCAAGGTTGTTTAAGAATTAATTGAGATTGACATACCAGATGGATAAAATAAATATAGACAGAGATATGACAGATGGTAATACAGCCGCTAAATGGGTCGTCGACCATTTACAATTAGAGCGAGACGGAAGGAAGCACACATAAGTGTAATTAAATGACATGTTAATAAATCTACTTTGTCGGCAATTTGATCGTTACGACGACGAGATATAGTTGAATAGTTCAAGGGTCTTTTATAAGAGAACACTAACACTCGTGTCAAAAAGAGTGTCAGAAACTTCAATGAAAGTCGGTCAATATTAATAACCTTTTTTCGAATACAAGAGGAATTTTCAAAAATTCAGAACTTCTAATATTGACAATAGAAGTAATAAATTGAATATTATATTTATTATGATGCAGAATCATTGAAATAATAACAGATAAATAAACGTTGGATAATTATTATCAAGCCTATTAGAGGGGCACGGACCTATCTGGATAGATTTGAATAAGGAGAATGGGCCATGATGATCTATCACGTGAGTCCAACAGGTCAATTCTGCTAATTAATAATCGCATTTTAATAGAATCTTAACTACTGTATTTTGCCATTGTACCATCTGAATCAGTCAGCCAGTTGCACAAACGTCAATTAAAATTGTCATTAGTTTAAGGCGACATTATCCATACAAATTTGATATTCATTAGAGCTTAAAGGATTAACGGATTAAACCTTAACGGATGTTTGTGCAACTAACCGTCTGTCTGTCTGTATCTGAAAGATGCACCCGGTCCGACAGTTTAACGTGCCTTTGTGATAGTTGTTTAATTTCCACATCACAGACGGAACCATCATACTCCTCAAATTCTGGATGATTTTAATAGACATAATATTTAAATTAAAATAAATTTTGTTCTCATTTCGTAGTTCGATGGCGTAATGAATAAACCGCGGCCTGCGATCGTTGTTGTTAAGCAACTTTCGAAAAGCGTGATTATGGGATGGGTGACCAAAAAATTGTTATCTCGAACTACTCCGTGCTTCGGAAGGCTTCGGTAAGTCCCGGTTGCTTTTGCAGACGTTTGCAGTCATGGCCCATCCTACTTATTCTTCCATACGGAAGGCCAGAGCCCCGTGGGGCCGTAAAAAGGACTAGCGATGTTAAAGTTTTGTTTACTTTTAGAAACATTATTTTCCATTATCATATAGTAGGATAAAGGTGGATTCCAAACTATAATACCATTTGTGGTATAACAATGTGTATTTAACTTCGGTCTTATAAAGGAATTTCCATAGAAGATATATAGTTATTCACAAGTGTGTCAAGGGTATAGTCATACATTGTCAACAGCACTCTTCGTTGGTGGGAAAATTAATTCGATTAAAATACGCAACAGTTTGCTAAAAGGCGAAATCACTTCATTGATAAAATTTAATAGCCATTCAATCGACTGTCGTATTTTGAATAGGCTTTAGATGAACTAAGGTTATGGTCATTATTATACATCGGTAATACCACTACATGACTTTAGAATTAACTGAAAAGCTTCAGTCAATTCATGGTGTCTGTTAAGCAAATATTGATCAGCTATGTTTCCGATCCTGGGGCAAAAACATTTCAACATGCGGTGATCAACTCCGTAACACGCATTGTTGCTTCTTTTTAGTTGGTCAGTAAGATAATAGAAAAGTATTAGATTCGATTTTTTTTTTACTTCAATTTAACAAGAAATGGCTTAAATAATAAGCATTAAAGTATTTTACTTATTTGCTGATTTACTATCATTTTTTTACACGAATACATTGATAGAATATCATAATACGCATTTTACAATCCAGTGCAACTAATACCTAAAAAAGGTAAATACATCTTGCAATAAGTATTTATTAAAAGCAATAAGTCATTATGGAAATCAATTCACGTCTGATTCAAACGTGTAAAGATTTATGAATGAGTTAAAGAACTAGTGTACTAATTGGGGTAATTAAATATTAGCTAAATTGAGAAGTGGGGGCTCGCTACGTCTCGCTAGGGTCTCGCACAAAGGCGCAAAAAAAAGATATGTCCTTAATAAGAAATGCTTATAAAATCCACTTTGTCCCTTGCACTCTGAGATGGGAATCGAACCCATGACCTTTCGCAATCCGAACGACTGCTCTAACCACTATACTCCCCAGGACCTAACAGGACTGACGAATTTTTCAAGCACTTGTTACTTTTCGCTACAACAGAGCGTATTTTCATCGATGTTTAGGCAATCCACCCAAACAGCCGAAAGAAACATTTTTACAAATATGTAACTTTCGAAGAATATTTTTCAAAAATTTTTTTTTTATATTTATATTTTTTTTTTAATCAATTATTGAAGTATATTAACACGTATATTTTACGTGGTAATATACTTCAATAGTCTTCCTAACAGACAGGCAAACAAAAATTTATCATCATCCCCTTTGTGCTTTCAATATATTTTTTACTTTTCTGTGGTATGTATAAGAGTAGCGTATGTAGTAGAGTAGAGAGTAGCTCGGTGGTGTAATGGATAATGATCATGTAGATCCGAGTAAAATATATAAGTAATTAAATATTAAATAGGACGTAAATAAAATAAAAAATCCGCGTAAATATTTAATTTTCCAAAAAGTCATCACCATCATCTTTATCAAATTTTTTTGAGAACCGCTGCTTCGAATAAACGGTACAAAGATAATGTAAACGACTAGATGGCGTTATTCGTTTTTACATCGCGATAAAGTTTGCTCTATAGTACTTGTCATAAAGAAAATATTGTGATTTAATGACAAATACGCTGTTTTTTGTTTTAATTTTTGAATAACGACGCGTTTACATACTATGTAATTCTGCGTCTCAATCTTCGGGGAATTCTTTATAGATAGATAAATAGATAATAGTGCAAAATTGTATTCTCTGAACGGAGCTTTTATTCAATTCATACTTATTTAATTATACTTTTAAATGAATATTATTATTTTAAAACAACTATAATAAAGTATATTGCTAAAGATGGATCGTTACGTTAAGAGCCTTGCCGCCTACGTAACGAAACCGTTTATGGACTAGTTAGTACTATAGTTAATGTATGATACTATGTCCACGGTATGGACGTTGGACCTAGGGGCCAATTCTACTAAATACATACTATACAATTTCAGCTAAAATAGAACTGAAATTGTATCGTATGTAACTTTGTAGAATAGGAAAACCATTAAAAACTGTAGTTTCGTTCGGTTTCGATCCGTTGTCGATTCGATTTAAATAACATTTATTTAGTAGAATTGGCCCCCTGTACGAAACGAATATGTAGATACCTATTTATGTTATGTTTTTGTATTTATATGTAGTTATGATGGCAGAACTTCAAAGATAACTTTAGTGTTCTAATGAGATATTTTTAGAATTCCACATCAAAGGGTAATCGGATCCCTATTAGGGTGGAGACACCAATAGTCGGCCATATCAATCCATATGCTTGTAATTTTTTATATTAACAGATGTGGCATTTTTGACTAAAGAGAAAATTAAATTACATTATATCATTGGCAAAATTACAAATCCTTTGTTAGTTTTGATAATAAAACTACTAAAAGAAAAATATATTACATTTTATATTTTCAAATAAGACAACAATCAATATATACACTTTTACGCCTTTTTACGCTTGTGTCTTATAAATCCAAATAATAGAGATCATAATTATTCAACGTTCTTATTATATTAAAATAAAGAAAGGAATTACGTACCAAATTATTATAAATTATGACCGAATAAAATCAACCGAAAACTTAATGTTACGCATAGGATCTTTAAATTTAATGCATTAAACAGTGAAATAAATTTACAATATTTTTTTAGCCGCATCAATTAGTTATATTTTGTTTCAATAATATATTCAATAATTAACCTTAAAGAAAAATGCTTAAAACAATTATTAGATTCAGGTACCCCACTGCGGAAGGTTATAAGTTCGTTAACGTCTTTTTCTTTCCTTGTCTTGGTTTTGGTGCCAAAATCTAATGCAATAAACATAAAAATGTTTTTAAAGCTGGCTGGAGACACCATACCAAGTTGTCTTCGATATTTTAGAATTTGGACGACTGGAAACTGGGGCATATTTTGTTCCGGCTAATAGTGATGCCGGTACAGAAAAGTCAAAAGGTCAACGTAATATCAATATTAGTTACTGGAAAAGAAGGTACACAATAATAAAGTGGTCGATATTACGCATCGATTCCCTTCATATCAGCCGTGATATAAAAACTGTTTTTAGGCGGCCAGCATTAGGATTAGACGTTTTAATGCATTTCCCCAATATCGACTACTCGCCTGATATTGAGATTAGCAATAAAATCCCTAATCTCATCCCCTCCATTATTTTATAAAAAAAGACAAAGAAACGTAAATATATGCGGTACAAACTCAAATATATTAAACGTACGTTTGCACATGCCCGCGTTTTATTTATCAACTGAGTGGTAAGTGTAAGTTTTACGCTAACGCGTTCACTAGTGAGCGCGTTAAGAATTTGTATGGAGATTTGTAGTTCTTGATAGTTACCGCTAGGGGCGCTGTGCCGGATTCCATACTAAAATCTTAACGCGCTCACGATCGACAGTGAACGTAAACGTCAAAAAAACTTACACTAAGCGCTCTGAACGTTTAAATGTTAGGGTACCCACACCAAAATATAGAAGGTTATTGGTAAGGATATACCTATAGCTTCTTGCTCTTTTTTATTTAATTATCGATAAGACCAACAGGTAGCTTGAAATATTTACAAAATATTGAGTTATATATTCACTTTTAAAATAAATAAATAAAATAAATATTTAAGGGGCGCTCCCATACAACAGACATGATTTTTTTGCCGTTTTTATAGTTAACGGTACGGAACTCTTAATGCACGATTTCGACTCGCATTTAGCCAGTTTTAAAATACTCGTATTTATCTATCAATAATAATAATATCTCTTTATATAAGAAAAAGTACACACTGCTGTACGTTGTTAATATTATCATATTTTAACCTATTTCTCCTTGGAAAAACGACACCCAACCAGTAACTCTATCAATTACTTGAGTTATCGAATCTTGGTATTTCGAAATATTTTACTAATTGTTATTAATCTATAAATTAGGGTCATATGATTTGTAATCGCAGTATATTTTTCTAGTTCGTACAGCACAACTTAAGGATTAATAAAGTGTTTTCAACAATCTAAAATGAAGTTGACTTCGTCATTTGGAATATGTTACATTATGGTGAATTTAATAAATGTAAATGCATGTAAGTTTGTAAGCGACTCAAATATTAAGAGTTAGGTGCATCTTTGTAAAGAGCCATAAATTTTTGGCTGTAATAGCTGCTCATAATTCATTTTCCTTTTTCAAATTGGCGGTCTATCATAAAACTAATGACCAAAAACCGGCCAAGAGCGAGTGGCACTAATTTATGAGATATTCTTAATGGAGAATGCTAAAAAAAATCCACTTTGTCTCTAGTACTCTGAGATGGGATTCGAAACAGTGACCTATCGCAAACCGGGCGATTGCTCTAACCACTGAGGTGCCTAGGACCTAACAGGACTGACGAATTTTTCAAGCACTTGTTACTCTAACGCTACTACAACATTAATGAAAATACACCCTATTTACATTAATGTTCAGGAAATCTACCCAAACAGCCGAAAGCAATATTTATACAAATATTTAAACTTTCAATAAAGATGTAAATTTGTTCTAACTGTTATATTTGATCAATTGTGCATTAACAATGCTAAACTAAGAAATACTTTTAGTGAAAAATACTTAAAAACCCACTTTGTTCCTGGCACTCTAAAATGAGACTCGAACCAACGACTTTTTAAGCATTTTTCATTGATAATGTTTTTCAGTATAGCATTGTGAATCAATTTTGTCAAATATAATAATATTTATATATTTAATAAATTATGTTTTTAACGATTTAGTCTACTGTAAGTTTGTTTTTGATAGTACACTTACAATTAGACTTTACCCTTATTACCTTCTCACGATCACTCTAAGGTTTGTTGGAAGTACTTCGTGTTTGAGTTATGCTCGCCTTTTGTATAGAAGCTTCTAATAATGTTGATTGTCTGAGAAACTTCGTGTCCATCATTGTAAATGAAATAAAATAATAATAATAATACATAGATTAAAAATCAATAAAGCTTTTTATAGCCGTGGCCAGAGTTATAGCGTGAGAGTTTAAAGACACTGTGGTTTAGTTTTGAATGCGTATTTCAGATTCCATTCAGCCGAACGAGTTGCGATTCACGGCAACGGCTGTGATACCGCAGCTTTTTGAAATGTTACGAGGGCTGATAAAAAATGGCGATGCAACAAATAAAATACCAATATTAGATCCATATGTCTTCGATGTGAAGCAAATCGACCTTCAAGACAATTATTACAGGTCAGTTATTATCATATCTACAAGCTTATATGTGCAGCTTACAATATTTAGAGCTACTTTAGAGCTAGTTCTATATCTTGTTGCATTTGGCATTAGTGCACAAATTCTTATGGCTGAGTGTCGTTAATATTAAAACATATTTACGAATACTATTATTTTTATTTCATATATCAAATTAATAATTTGTAAATTGATAATTCAAAAATTTCAATAATAAAATTGTATTTTTTTTATTGGCCGTTTTCAAAAACCATTATCGAACTTATAACATAGATTGTAATGAACCATGTGACGGTTGAAATACGCCCAAGTCACATATCTTGATTGAGGTGTAGCGATTGTCAAGAATGGCTTATATAATTAAGGCATGTAGAATGAGAAGCTTGACTCTACATAAGATATGAAACATTTTTGACGTATTCATATGGTGTCGTCTTGGCAATATTTTACATAAACGTTTTTAAAGCTATTTTTATGTGCCGGTATTACAAATGTCGATATCGAGAATCATTCGTGCATCAGACAATATCTTATAATTGAAAATTATTCATTCATAAGTACATTTCTATTAAACTATATTTTTTTGTTATAGTCTCCAATCGAACATTAGTGACTTTACTTTTACTGGGATGGGAAATTTCCTCGTCGAAGAGCAGGAATTCTTCAAAAATGAAGTAGCTATCAATGTGAAACTCCATTTTCCAGTCCTGAAACTAGAAGCAGGTAATGTCAAAGTAAAAAAAAATTGAATCGGTTAATTATTTCAATATTATTGATAATAATATACAATATTTCATTATAGAACATTACGAAATGGAAGGAGTTGTAATGGAAGCAATACCTATTGGAGGAAAAGGAGTCATGTAGTATGTATCTTAGAATACATTTTTGTGTAGCGATCTTTATCATTGTAAAGCATTCATTGATTTAAAATGATATTTTAGAATTTGTAAACAGACAGTAAATTCGTTCATTGTAGAAAATTCTATCATTGCTCATCTATTTCTCCAAACTGGTCAAAAAAGCTAAACGTCGATCGATCGATCAAAATGAAAACGTTAGACTATTCTGAAAAATCAGACTCGAATTGGACTTCGAGTATAGTTAGAGCATAGAGGTTCAATCATATCAAACCGAATTCAAAAGAATACTCGACGTAGATTTAATTACAGAATGTCGCTGCAGGACTTTTATCACATTTCATATTATTTATAATTATAGACAGACACACGACATATTTTAATATGTGTCATTGATAAGCACCGAAACTCTGGAGTGCGACTGCCTCTCCCTAGCCAAGGGTACGTCATCTTAGCGATTCGTTTCATTTTAATAGTTTGACATGGACTTTAATAACGACGAAAGATTGATAAATAATGATCAGCCTGCATTTTAAAAATTGTGAGAATAAATAGAAAGAAAATACGGGTTTTATGATTTTTAAACTTAATAATTGAACCTTTGAATGTGAAAACTTTTAGAAAGATGATGAAACTGCTACTCGTATGAAATAACAAACAGTTGCAGGCATATTATACATATTTCTATAAAAACAAAATAGTCAGACTCAAAAAACGCATTTTTCGATAAATGGGACGTAGGACCTGACACTGCCTCTCGATGCATAGATAACTCTTCACGGATATGTTTTTAGCAAAATTCTATGAACAATTCGAAATTTTCCGAATTTCCGTTAAATGACAAATAGAATAGTATCAAGATCATTCGTATGAGTTGCATAATTTTAGCTACAGTTATTTGGACGTTATTTATTTGTAAAAAACCAATTGGAAATTCGTTTATACGACTAATTAAGATTTTTTCTTTTAATTGCAGTTTTGAAATTAAAGATTTGTTTTTATACACCAAAATTTACCTGCGACAATCAAGCAATGGTAAATCTATATTAATTGACAAGTTAGAGAAGACAAATTTTACCATTGGTCAAATTTTGGTAAGTACCTCATTGATGCGTATGCAACTCGATTATCCGTAGAATTAGATAATCTCATATTGGTAGTAATATGGCTACAATTACAGTAAACTTTGTACAGTATGTTTTTAAGGCAGACGAAATAATCCACAATAATAACCCAGATATTATATAATAATAATAGTAAATCATTAATTCCTGTCACAATAGCTACAAACGATCTTTTAACATACTATAGTTACAATACCTAGTGTTAAAGCTTGTTTATTAATTGTACTCATCGTAGGTGAACAAAACTTGTAGTAGGATTCTCTGTATGACAGAGCTTCGGCCCTCCGTCACGGAATAATTCGCTTAAATTATTTTTTGTTGACACTTTTATGATTGAATAAAACAGGAACTGTCGCCATTTTACTATAGATTTAGTATGTATCTACGGACACATGGGACTGGTGATGTTTTAAACATTTTTCTTTAAGCCAGATAACAGTTCTTCAACAATTAAGAATTCATGGTTTTTAAGGTTTAATCATGTGACAAATAAATGTAAAAATCAATCCAAATAAAAGTTGTATTTTTAGTTCAGTTGAGTCTAGTCTGGTCTGGTGTAGTTCGGTCTAGTCCGGTTTAATCCGGTCTAGTCCGGTCTAGTCTGGCCTAGTCTAACCTGGTCTAGTCTGGTCTAGTTTTGTTAGCGAGAACTAGAGAACACTACAACAGAATTGCCACCATTATCTTGACTTATTTCTGGTCTCTATTTCAGAGTCGTACAGAGTTTGATGGCAACTTTGACGATATCTTGAACGCTTGGATTGGGGACTTATTTGCTGAATACCTGACGAGGTTCAATGGATTCATCACAGCTACATATAAAGACAATATTATTTCCATGTTGAACTCTGTATTAAAGGCATACGATACATGGTATATTCTTGCCACTATATTGTATTAATAAAATATTTTTACAAATATAATTTTTTTACTACTCATCACTTGATAATGCGGGAATGAATTTAAATTATAAACGGACATAGAAAAAACAGTAATAAGTAAGGAAAATAAAGTCTATTTAAGAAAATCATGCCATGTTATTGAGATATCATAACATATGTTATGATATCTCAATAACATTTTTTTTTCGTTTCTCAACCTTAGGGTTTCGGAACCACCTTCCCAGCGGGGGAAGGAGGCGGTGAATCCTTCATTGGATACCTCACAGCCGGCTGTGAGGTTATGTCAGACTCCTACTGACTAAACACCGCCTTGGACAGTTGGTTGCGTGCCCTGAAGGGGCAACGAACCTTCATCGGAGCGACCACCCCCCCGCAAGGGGGGGGGGGGCGTAGACGTCACTATTCACCTACATAAGTAGTGGCGTTGAGATGTTGGCCATTTACCTTGAGGGGTATCGGCTTATTGGATAGACATTATGACTGACTCCCTGAAGGAGAGTGATCAGCAAAAACTCAATAACATGACATGATTAGTTTATAAATAACGTGACTATACTCCCCGTTTTGAAAGTGACCGTCCGTTTTTTTGGTTGTTTCTCTCGGATGTCCCTGAAGGTAACCACGGGACTTAACATGTCTCGTTTTTCAAATGGTGAGAAAAGTTTGCTGGATGCACACTCACACACGAAGATGGAAAGGTAACAATAGCTCTGTAGTAGTAAAAAAGTAACAAGTGCTTGAAAAATTCGTGAGTCCTGTTAGGTCCTGGGTAGTTCAGTGGTTAGAGCAGTCGCTCGGATTGCGAAAGGTCATGGGTTCGAGTCCCATTGTAACAGTTTTCTAAACAAACTGTTTGTCTTTCGCATGTTTAACTGATACGTTTCATTCCTTTTAAAGTTTTGATACAAATAAACGTTTAAGGAAAAATAATCATCAAAAATAATTATAGGTACACTGATAACTATTGCTATCCTGATGATGGATTAGTATGTAAACGACCAGCAATACTTTTTTTTTAGTTTTTACTGCTTACCTACAAGTTTTTACGTTCTAGTAATTTATTTTTAACATCACAAGTCCTATAAATAACTTTGAATTCTCAAACTATTTCGTTGTTATATAATATTTAACGTTTTCATTGAACATTAATTTTGTGGTGAAAATCTAGTTCATAAAATTCATTATACTGAAACAAAATTAAGTCCTAAGACTACGCACAATTAACATTTTATTATTTTTCAACTCACAGATTTGATATTTAATTTTGACTGCTAAAATTAAATATAACCGATACATTGAATGCTAGTTATTTTAGTTTTATTTCGTGATTTTAATTCCATCTCGGTATCGAATGCCGGGTTATGCTGTAAATAATTTCGAATACTTTATAACCATCAAAGCTAAACGATTTTAAATGGAACAGTGCTTTAATTTTATATGAACTACGGGTTCTGTTCCCGTATATTTTAATATTATAGTATTTGTATTTTTTTGACTTACAGATTATTATCATAGCACCTTTAAATAACTTTCATTCTAAATGATTTTTAATGTCATTTGAAATAAGGATTCTATTGTTTTTTATCGGGTAGATTTTATAGAAGCTTTAACAACTGCAAATATGTTACTTGTTCTAGACCACAGGTAGCTGAATTTATTGAGCTTCTGTTCAGGGGCTGTATTTATAGGGTTCTTCCACCTGAGCCCGCTTGTCCTATGGTACTCTGCGTCTTAACTACGACCGGAGCTGACGTCGGGTCTACACCCTTGCCATCCTCTGCCCGGCCCGTGCCACTGTGACCCCGCAAACTTGACATAAAATCTCTTTCTCAACTTTAAAGATAAGTCCTCCCAAAAGAAGTCACGAGGTCCATAGCAAGCGAATCTATATACCTACGCCTGAGATTAAGAAAAATTATAAAAACTTTTTTTAGCTTTATCACCATTTCAGAATGCCAAAGACAAAGAGGATTTTTAAGAAATTTTGATTAAGAATAAATTTATAATTATCAAAAATGTCAATCAATTAAAGCGTTTTGTTGTTACTGTTGGTACGTAACAACAAAATACTTTAGTTGCGTCAGCTGGCACTGGTTTTAACCAATGTTTAAACTCCTCATAGTCGTCCCATTCTCTTCTAATGTTGAACGAAGCTCTTTCTGAACGGAGCCTCCATATTTACTGTGACACTCGACTAAACAAAAACAGATTAGATATAGATTTTAAAAACAAAATTGCAAATTTGAAGTTAAACAAAAAAATAAAAATAATTATGGAACACTCTCTATTTTGTCTCACTCATTTTTACTTTGTATGAGTGAAACGAACAGTGAACGAAAAGTTTGAAGAAGTTGCTTATACTATAAATCAATAATACCCAAGAATCCGCTAAATATTTTTCCCGCTAAAACTAAAATTTCGCCCGCTTATATTTCGAAAATTCCCCTAGATCAGCCCTGCGATTCCGTAAAAATCCAAACACGAATTAGAATTCACTCAGGTGTCCGAATTTATTTCAAAAAACGGCATCAGCTCAAAATAAAATTGATATAAGTATTTTTTCATGTAGTGAAGAAATTCAGAAAAAATATATATCCATATTTTTTAATTTAGTGAATAAATTACATCAATTCGGACACATGAGTGAATTCGAATTCGGGTCTGGATTTTTACAGAATCGCAGCTGACGCCTTTGTCAGCAACGGCAATACTCGTCAGAGCTCAATTCTATCTTCTAAATATATATAACTCAAAGGTAACTGACTGACATACCTAGTGATCTATCAACGCACAGCCCAAACTACTGGACGGATCGGGCTGAAATTTGGCATGCAGGTAAATGTTATGATGTAGGCATCCCCTAAGAAAGGATTTTCATCAATTAAATATGATAAAATTGGGGATGAAAATTTGTATGAAATTTCGTCAATTTTAAACCGATCGGGCTCAGACTTTGCATACATAAAACTACTATGACGTAG